CACAACAGCAAAGAACTTGCTACCAGGTGAATGATGCAGGTAGCACTACACTGGTACAACAGGATTTGTAGTAATCCTGAGACATATTAATCAGGATATTGATAAAAACAGAAAACATTTTAAAATTGGTCTTCCTAGGTGAACAACTCCACGATTTCATGTGCTTAATTTTTGTCATTTAGTAAAGAAGCACTGACTTTACAAGGGTGTTTTCCCACTGCATATTTAAACACAAGAACTGACCCAAACTTGAGCCAGTTGAACTTACAGTTCTAGTTCATTTCCTACCTGCTCAAGATACAGCTGGAACTAATTATAATAAAAGGTGATTAACAAATTATTGCCTTTTTGGTTGTTTTATGTCACTTGTCAAGAATCTTATTTGGCTAATTAGCTACCTTAATTACCAGTTAGCATACCTTGTTGGCTGATATGAAACATTGCACTGTTCTGTGCACGTACTTATACAATGTCTTCATTTACCCAGAATCATGTGTAGAAACAAACAAAGACTTTTTTTCTGTTGAGGATAAAAATATGAGCAAAAACATTCATTCTGAGGCCGCTAGCTTAAATGTTAATAGTGTAGTTTGTTAACTAGCTTATGCCACCTTATGTTGAAAAAAAAAACAGCACATCAACACACCATCCTAGTTTACAATCTGGTGGTCTTATTGGCCATGTAATAGTGCTTGGTAACTCTTCATCTTCATCTGGGAGAGTAAATGATTTGCTAAATTTTCGTAAGCTTCAGCTGAAAGTGTTACCAAACACAGGATCCCTCCGTGGGATTAATACTACTTAAAGCAGATCAACCTGATTTTGAACGCTGGAGAATGGGTAAATTGTTAGTACATCCATTACAAAATTACATACAATTAACCTTACAGCTTTAAACTCAACAATATTACTGTTATTACCAATGTTTTGTCAGTTATGCTTTGATTTGTACCATAATATGAGCTGCTTTCATGCTGGATGCACGTTATCATCCCAGAAATATAGCCAACAATTACTTTTACACACACATTAATTTCTTAGTGAAAACTGACAATTGGCATTTGTCTGTCAGCATGAATTGGAAATCATAATACATTTTCCTTCCGTATTGTGACATAAATTTGAGTGAAACACAGTATCAAGGAAGTGAGGGTGTTATTAGTGGGAGATGAAACATTGGTTAATGTTATGTTTCACCTCCCACTGGTGCACAGTGATGTAATCGAAACTCAAAACGATTACAGAAAACAGAGATTTTTTCTTTTAATTAATATGCTATGATGAATCAGAGACATGAACTAACAAAGTAAAAAAAAGGCTTTTTTTGATGTAAATTTTAAGCCATGTCATCTGTTGTGGATTGTTGAAGCGTGGACTTCATATAATACAGTAATAGTATGTTGCAAAGTGTGCAGGAGCTTGTAGTCTTACAGTTTATATATATAGTGCAGTAGGAAAAATGAAATTAAATAAAAATGATTTTCAATCCTTTCTGACCTGTATTCAATTAAAAACAGTGCAAACACAAAGATATTTAACAAGTTAGTTAACATTAAACTAATTAACCTTATTGTTTTTTGTATAGAAATGCTTATTTTAAATTTGATGCCAGCAACATGTTTCAAAAATGTTGGGACAGGGACATGTTTACCACTGTGTAACATCACCTTTCCTTTTAACAATGTTCAGTACTCGGTTGGAACTCAGAACACCCGTTGTTGTAGTTGTGAAAGTGCAATTTTCTCCCATTCGTGCTTGATATAATGTTTTAACAGTTCAACAGTCTGGGAAGGGACACAGGAAACATAGCACTTTAAGCAAATGCTCTTTTATTGAACAGCAGCAATGAAACCTACCACCAGTGCTAGTGAACTGCAGGGATAGCACGCAGGTAATTTCCAATCACACAAATCTACTTGACAATAGAGAGTAAATTCATTCCAACTACCCCACACTCCAGCACAACATAGCCTATGCAGCACATGTACACATCTTTTATGTAACAATAGCAACCTATTAACATATTTTAAGTCTCTCTTACTGCGAATCTGGTACTTTCCACGATGCACCGTGCATGGCCACGCCTCCCACACATCTGCAGCCAGTAGCAGGACGCTACAATATATTGCTTTCGCTTTGTGTAGCAGAGTCTTGACTTGCATTTATAGATGCAGTAATGAACTTACTGACAAGTATTTCTGAGCCTGTGTGGTCATATTTTATTGCACAAGCATGTCGGCTTTTAGTGCAGTGCCATCTGCGCGATCAAAGGTCACAGACATCCAGTATTGGTTTTCAGCCTTCCCCTTAACGCACAGGGATTTCTCCAGATCCTCTGAATCTTTGAACACTGTTACGGACTATAGATGGTAAAGTCCCTAAATTCTGTGCATCACCTGTTTACCTGAAAGTTACAAAACAAGTGTTTCTGATCATTCTGCAAACTTCCCAGTCCTAAATTGGTCCTGTCCCAACTTTTAAAATTTGGCATATATTTGCAAAAATCGATATTATTATTATTATTGTTCTTATTATTGTTATTATTATTATTATTATTATTATAAGAAATATTAAATATTTCTTCTTTGTGCTGTTTTCAGTTAAGTACATATAAAGGACAGTTTGTTTGCGTTTCACCTGCTCTCCCAACTTTTTTTCGGAATTGCTTGGTCAAAAACTTAGCTTAGCAAAATTACAATGTAATAAACAACTTTTTTATTCCAACCTATACATGATTTGTTTGAATTCATAATTAAAAAGAATACTGAGATCAGTATAAAAAAATATGATGTGAAATCTCTATTTCTATCTTTTTCCATCCCTCTTACTCCCTCCTACTGTCTCACTCATCTCCCTTATCTCCCTCCTTTTCTTTCTCTCTCTCCCCATGATTTCTCTGTCTTCTTTTTACCCTTACACTCTCTCACTTGCTCGCTCATCCTTGTCTCTCTCTCTCTTTCTCCATCTCTGCCTCCCTTTCTTTCTCTTTCCCTTACTCTCTCTCTGTCTCTGTCTCTTTCTCCCCTCTCTCTGTCTATCTCTCTTCCTTTTTCTCTCTCCTCTTTCTCTTTCTTCTTTCTCTCCCCCTCTCCTTTTCTCACTCACTTTCTGATGTTTTTTCTTACTTTCTCCCCCTCTTTGTCTCCCTCCCTCTGTCTCTGTCTCTGTCTCTGTCTCTGTCTCTCTCTCTCTCTCTCTCTCTCTCTCTCTCTCTCTCTCTCACCTGCTTTTTGTTGCAATCCTTTCATCCCGTCCCAGCGGGCGGAGCTTTTGTGCTGAAACTGCTCACGGAGCAGATCTAAGCTTAAAACACATCAATTATTCACACACATATACACCCTCACACACTCACACACATACAGGGAGGGGGAGGCTGTTTATCTTTCATAAATGTTAAATTTCCATTTCCATTGACCTTAACTCATCTAAACAAAATTATTTATTTATTTACATTTTTGCATGTATTATGTGTTGGTGACATCCCTACAATGCTGTTCCAAACACGCAGCTCACAGTGTCCAAATGCTCTTCCTGTGGGGTGTGTTCAGCAGGCTTTTATAGACATTGATGGACTAAAGGTGCTCCTGTAAGGTGGGCTGAAGAGACTGGGCCATGAGCCTAAAACAGCTGCAACTAGTCCGATCCCTGGCTACGCCTCCTTTAGGAACTCTCGATGCTCCGCCCACAACTGCGTTCTCTCATAGCTACTGTTGTGAGGTTGAACAGGCTTTCCCACAAAAGAGTGGGAAAAATCCTATCCAAGCTAATGAAATACTGCAGCACACAACTCAGTTCTTATCGCAATACATATTTTATAGTACTTATATTTAGCAAGCTAGCAGCACTAAAAAAGTTCCTACTTAGCATATAAGACCTTCATATCCATTTTTCCCTGAAAATCTGCAAAACTAAAAAATGGCCATACATACTGACCTTAGTGCAAAAATAAACAGAATGAGTATCAGTAAAGTCAAGCTGCTTGGTCACGGTATTCTCTGATGCTAAAATGTGTTAACTGTCAAATATTTATCAGCTAAAATCATCAAAATATCAAGAAAAATAGCATGTTTTTAAAGCTATAGAGGTGTATTGATGTAATAAAAACCAGTGCTACTTTTTTACCTGGTGCAAATAATCCATTCTGTTGGCAATAATTAGTCAAAAATCTCAGGATGATGTGACATAGTCAAAATCTTAAGAAAATAAGCCATTATTTCAACATAACTAGTCAAACTTTTGAGAAAGTAGGCAACTATTTCAATAAAATCTTGAGAGAATAAGCCATTATTTTGATGTGATAGGTCAAAATCTTGAGAGATTAAGTAATTATTTTGACATTATTCAATCCCAATCTTGAGATAATAAACCATTATTTTGAGATAGAAACTGTCAACATAGTGGGTCGCTGGCAGAAACAAAGGGGCGGAAGAAACAAGTATCAGAAATGGGCTTCCAAATGAATATCCTCTGTGCTGTGGCATGCCTTGTTCCTGCTTAAAAGTTGCAGCAACAAGAAAGCCATTTTCACTGATCTGAAGTTTCTTGGGAGGTTATAACTAAACTCATGTTCACACAGTTATTTACACTGAGAGTGTAATTTTTTGTTTGAATAAAAATGGGGGAGCCAAAGTATGTTTGCTTCTTATCTAATAAAACAGGTGATGCATGTGCAACAGTACTGGTTCTATACTGAGTCATTACAGCTCTAAACTGGGTTAATACAGCTATACACTGATTTCTTACAGCTTTATATTGAGTTATTGTAGCTCTATATTAGTACAGCTAGTACAGCTAACTTAGTTTACCAATTCATTTCAGCTTTATATTTACTTATTACAGCTCTGTACTGAGTTAATACAGTTGTATACTGGTTCATTACAGCTTTACACTGTGTTATCACTGCTTTCTACTGATTCACTACTATACAGTGCTGTACTGATTTCTGAGCAGAGTTACTGTATGTCTAATGACAACACTGTGCTTTTATTCTTCTCTTTCAGTTAATTTTGACCACTTTCAGATTCTCAGGGCTATCGGAAAGGGGAGCTTTGGAAAGGTGAGAAAGCACACACACGCAAATGAATGCCAGATGAGATTGCTGTGTGTGTGTGTATGTGCATGAGCGTGAGGCTCTGTTCTGAGAGATAATGCCTTTCTCTCAGATTCTGTCTGACATTTGATGGAAATGTCACCTTTAATTACAGAAAATAACCACCATTCTATTCTTCCTGCGCTCCTTAACCTCGTCCTTCCCTCGCCCCCTTCCTCACTCTCTCTCTTCCTCGTTACTTTGAAACACTCGCTGAAAGCACATAGATGTTATGACTACCTCAGTACATCAGAGCAAGACTGATGACAAACGCACAAATCAATCATAGCAAAGTGCTTGTCATGGAAGTGAGGAACGGCCAGAGAGGGAGAGAGGTGTGACAGTAACTGTATACTGCAGATGCCTGATAAACAGATGTGTTAAAAATAAGGGCTGTCAAATGGTTAAAATAATTATTCATGATTAATTACGCTATTTTGTCTAGTTAATCATTAGTAATTACATTTGTGAAATGGAAAAAAAGGAAAAAAAAGCTGTATGTTTTGTTATAGCTGCAAGCTACAAAATAAGCCTCATCAGAATGTACACTATATGACCAACACCTGACCATGTGATGAACACCTGACCATCACACCTATATAAGCTTGTTGGACATCCCATTCCAAAAGCATAGGTATTAATATGGAGTTGCCCACCCCCCCTTTTGTGGCTATAACAGCCTCCACTCTTCTGGGCAGGCTTTCCACAAGATTTTGTGTGCCTGTGGGAGTTTGGGCATAGTGATCTTAGGCTTGTGTGCTGCTGCTTGGACTTGGAAACCCATTTAATGTAGCTCTTGACATACCGTTGATTTGTTGATGTTGCTTTCAGAGGCAGGTTGGAACTCTGTAGTAAGTGATTATATACAAAGTATATACAATTTTTACGTGCTTCACCGCTCTGTGTGTTTGTGTGGTCTACCGCTCCATGGCTGAGATGATGTTGTTCCTAGATGCTTCCGTTTCACAGCAATAACACTTACAGTTGACCAGGGCAGATCTAGCAGGGCAGAAATTTTGACTAGTGGCAAAGGTGGCATCCTATGACACATTTGTGTCACATTTAAAGTCATTTAGCCCCTTAGTACCACCCATTCTACTGCCAATGTTTGTCTATTGAGATTGCATTTTTGCTTGATTTTTTACACCTGTTAGCAATGAGTGGGGCTGAAACACCTGAACTCCACAAACTTTTGGACGTACATATATGGTTGGACGAGGCAGCATTATTTTTATTTAAGCAACAAATGTGATTAATTGTAGTTAACTACACAAAATAAAATAATTAATTTTGGTCATATATGGAGAAATCCATAATTTCAAACAATCATGCTCTGTATTGTCTACAGTTATATGCAAAAGTTTTGGCACACGGTCAAATGACATGTTTTGTTGATTTTCTTAGAGGAAAATAGTTCACACGTGTTCTACAGAGAACACACTTCCATACATTTTAGTACACAATTAGTAATATTTTCTACATTTAACATATTAAGTGGAAAAAATAACATATAAAATGTGGCATGTACAAAAATTATGGCACCTTTTATATGTTAAGCTTAGCAAAATTAGAAATTGTGTACTAAAATTGCATGTCATGTTTAAGTTTCTTCCTTGTAGAGGATGTGTTAACTTATTTTCACTTTGAAAATCAATCTGACCAGGGTTGTTCAAACTTTTGCATATGACTATATGTCTCTGTCTGTCTGTCTGTCTGTCTGCCTGTGTATCCCCTCCTACTCTCTCCCTCTCTCTGGTGGTCTGCTCTGTCTGAGGAAGCTCTCTGTTCCTGGCTGTGAGCGGATGGGACTGATGCGGAGATGTGTGTGTTATTTTTAGTGTTTTCTGCTGGGGGGTGTTTATGTGGGGGCAGCTTTGTTCCGTCAGCAGGAGAATCAAACCCACTCACGTTTTACAGAGAAAAATCATTCCAAACCCTCTGCTCTCTGCTCAAGCAGTTCTATATCCACTCTCTGTCCCTTAAACTCAAATGCAGTAAAACAAAACAAAACAAAAATGCACAATATATCATTTGTTAATTGAGCCCTCTAACCAATCACAATGGCTGTGTTTGAAATAGCCTACAAGATACTGCTCACATACTGATTGTGCACAAAAGTAGTAAGTATTATACAGTATGTGACCTAAAGTTAGATTACAAAGTTAGATTTTTCATGTAATATAAAGAACATCCTGTAAAACAACCATTATCTCAAAAATATAAGGCTACGTTCAGACAGCAGAGCGTATTCAGGACGAAACGCCATTATTTCCTACAGCGGGATGTGGATTTTATAGGCTTCACTTGTTCCTCGATTGAGCACATTTTTTCGCAGATCAAGTTGAAAAATGTTCAGCTTCAGCAGAAAACCTTCGCTCATCATTTGTCACTGTTTGACAAGATAACCAATCAAAAAAAGGGCAGATAAAATTGAACTGGAGAGTGAACGAGGAGCTTGAACAGAAGGATGGGTGTATGTATTAGTGTATGTACCATCCTGTACATTGTTATTGCTTCGGTTTCCTAAAAAACGCTAAGATGATGAGTTCCCCTCACCACTGTAGCATGGCGAAGAGTCTACTTTAATGTAGAAATACAATGTTGGCACTTATTTGTGGTTCAAGGTAGTTGCTAATGTTGCTAATGTTCACATGGGCTGATAAGGAAGAATGAAACCTGGTGGATATTTTCTTTTTCTTCCAAAAAATTGTTTTTTTAGTCTATCCGGGATGTGTGATGTGATGTTGAACTTTCGACCCATAACGATCCTCTCCGCTTCCTTTCCGCTTTGCAAAAGCTGTAACAGGCTGATTCAGATAGATTTTTTGAGTGAAGCACCATCAGCTTTCACTACTGGTCTTGAGGTGGGTTTGCTTATTTCATCCATTTAATAAAGATAACTTACTACAACTTTCTAAAATCTGAACAGCATCAGCTCTTCACACTCTCGTGTGACATCACACTGCTTATTATTCAGTCAAACTAACTCGTACTACAAACTATGAATGTCATAAAAATGAATTGACTGACCTTTTAGCAAACCTAGGTAAACATCTGGTAACCACATAGGTTTACCATACAGATGAATCCAAAGCTGACTCTATATATATACATATATATATATATATATATATATATATATATATATATATATATATATATATATATAATATATATATAATATTTCACATCAGAGATAGGAAGTTAGAGATAGAAAACCCTGTGTCACACAGGAACATCATTTGACCAAAATATATCCATACACTAAAGAGCTAAAATATGGCTAGCAGTGGTTGCTAAGCAGTGATTGGAGGGCTAAGAAAATGGGACGAGTCTTGACATGGGTCTGGCTCAGTCCATAATGTTGGCAGTCTAGTTGATTTCCTGCCCTGTAGTATGGTGCACAGATTTTGTCTCATACTGGATACTATACTGTATACTACTGGTGAAGAGTAACATGCAGTATACAGAGTATACTGGCACAGTATGTAGTTTACTGTATATATGCTATTTCAAACACAGCCAATGTTTTTTTTTTCACTGTGTGACATGAACAACAGGTCCAGCTGAGTGCTTCTGTGAGTGTTTTCATTAATAAAGGTAGTGCTGGGTAATATATTTTCTTGACTCGTATAGTTTAGTGATACATTTTATAGATAGTGTCCATGATAATGCCCATAAATAGCACTGTAACTGTTTTATTTTCAGCTTTTTAATTTTATTTTGTGCACTTTACTTTTGATATTCAAGACCTAAAGGTTACCTGCAATTCAGATGTAATTGGCTGGGTGCTCTAGATTGGAACAATCATTTAAATACATAAAAATAAAATAAACAGTAAGTTTCCTTTTAGGAAATCTGTTTTTAGCTGGTGAACATTTATAATAATGTGTACGTTTTTCTTTGAAATTTTAATACTAGCAAAATAGAACAAAACAGTCCAAAAAAACATGCATGTAAGACATTCTCTTAGTATAAAGGAAGCTGAGGTTCATTAATTTCTTCAACTCCGAAGAGTTTGTATGTGCACCCATACTTCATTTCCTTACTCTCATAACTGCATAACTTACAGATAAGTTTCATAATAGATACTGAATAATTCATAGTACCTACTGGATAAAAGCTCTTAAGATTAATAACTAAATAATAAGTATAGGGTTCAAAAGGTTAGGTTGTTGATGGTAACTTAAATATTATCTAATACTGCGAAATATTTAAAGAGGTCATGCAATGACGTTGGATGAGGAGGCCTGGCTCGCAATTCACATTCCAGTTCATTCCAAAGGTGTTCAGTGGGTTGAGGTCAGGGCTCTTGTGCAGGCCAAATCAAACTCATCAAACCATGTCACCTCACTTTTTGCACCGGGGCACAGTCATGCTGGAACAGGGAAAGGCCTTCCCCAAGCTGTTGCCACAAAGCTGGAAGCATATAACCCTGAAAAACAGCCCCAGATTATTATCCCACCTCCTCCAAACTTTACTGTTGGCACTGTGCATTCCGGTAGGTAGAGTTCTCCTGACATCTGCCAAAACCATATCTGTCCATTAGATTGCCAGATAGTGAAACAAAATTCATCACTCTAGAGAACACATTTGCACTGCTTCAGAGTCCATTGAGGGCATGCTTTACACCATTCCAGCCGAAGCTTGTATTGCGCATAGTGATCTTAGGCTTGTGTGCAGCTGCTTGGTCATGGAAATCCATTTTATGAAGTTGCTGCTCCTAGATGCTTCCATTTCACAATAATAGCACGTACAGCTGACTATCAAGGCAAATCAAGCAGGACAGAAATTTCACAAAGTGACTTGTAGCAAAGGTGGCTATGACAGTGTCTATGACACTATGACAATGTTACATTAAAAGTCACTGAGCTCTTCCGTGTGGCCCATTCTACTGCCAGTGTTTGTCAGTGGAGATTGTATGGCCATGTGCTTGATTTCACACCTGTCAACAGTGTGTAGCTGAAACTCCTGAACTCAGTATTAGGAGCAGTGCCCACACACTTGGTCATATAGTGTATATTAAAAACCAGCATTGGCAAAAGTATTGTAGCGCCACATACAGAGTGGCCAAACGCACTGGCTCTTGGGAGTTGTAGTTGTAGTTGGGATGTGGCTGTGTTACTGTGTGATATTGTGCTGGGTGGTGGAATTGGTTGGTATGGTTGTGTGGCTACCATGGACTGGAGTTGTTTGGCTATTGATGACCTGCCTTGCTTTCTCAGCCATTCAGTAGCACTTAGCAGCAGTTTTCCCTTTCTGCCTGTTCACTAATAGAGAATTTGCTTAAAGCACTGTGTTTCCCAAGTCTTCTTCTTCATTGATGCCACAGTATAAAAAGAAGTCTAAAGATATTTCTTGAACACATGCAAGAAGAGTCCAAAAGTCTAATTTTCAGGGAAAGAGTGTCCCAGTGTTTGGGAACATACACAGCAAATATACAGTCTCCTTTGGATTTTAATGTTGTTATGAGAACAGCTTAAAGCCCTTTCTAGATGATAAGCATTTTCGCCTTTCTTTAGGGCAACAACAGTTCAGAAGTATACTCAGGGACCTCATTATGCAACTCCTTAGTGAACTCTAGAATTTTTGTCTAAATTCAAAAACTCTCTAGAAGCCAGTGAAGAGAGGCTAACTCTGGATTAATATGTTTACAGTGTTTCATCTTAGTCAGAAGATGAGCTGCAGTGTTTTTTGCAAATTGAAGGTGAGCATTGTCTCTCTGTGTCAGTGAGTAAACACGTGAATGTGTTATAGTTGTCTAGACACGATGACACAAAAGCATGATTGATTTTCTCTGTGTCCAGAAAAGACAGGCCATTTCTGACTTCTGACTTGTTTTGTAAATGGAAAAAGAAAAGCAGGACTGTACAAATTTCTTAAAATTATGATGTCAAAAATAGATTTATTAGAAACATCATCCAGGCTGACAGTAAGGATTTCTGTGTGGTCTTCATTCAACTTAAAAAAAAAAAAAGTAAGATGTCCTTATTCACTGCCAGACATCACCAGCTGTGTGTTATCTATGTAAAAACAACAAGAAATATTAACACATTACATTAAGCAGCCCAGGGGAAACATATAGAGTGAAAATAATATTGGGCCCAAGATGGATCCCTGAGCCACTCCACAGCTAAGAGCAGCAGTAGAAGACATCATGCTATCAGTAAACACTGCGAATCTCCTAAGTGTTAAATAAGAAATAAATTAGAAGACATCATACTATCAGTAAACAAACATAACAGCTCTTTACTAAACATTAGTTAATATTAGTGTGGACATACAACACACAAAATGAAATTCCATTGCAAGCTACTTAAGACTGCACTAAATTACAAGCTTTTAAGCCAGACCTCGTAGGTTTAGAGAACCACAATAGAAAAGGGCCATTTGACTGACATGCAAAACACCTAATCATAGACTGTGCTATGTGTACAAAAAAAACCTGGAGTACATTTATTTGTCAGCAAATGTGAAAGCAAACCAATTTACTTGTTACCCAAAGCTTCTGACACAATTCAGGAATAATGCTTCAAATGGGACATCATGAATGTTTCCTGGTTCAGCAGCGAGGCCTGTAGAACTCACTCTGAATGGCTTACTTTTGAGTAGATGCAGCTGCTTGCTACTAGCATTTAGCTTAATGAACAATCATTTGTTTCTCATCAGACAGTGTGCAGTCCAGAGCCAGTTTAAATTCTCTGTGAGCGATGAGTTTCTGAGAGTTGTGGTGATTTTAGAGTGCAGTTTACATCAGACAGTCTTTACATCAGACTGTGTACTTCTGTGGGCAGAGTGTTTGAGACAGACACTGAAATGCAGCAAAAAATCCAGAGCACTGACAACTAGTGGACTGTTCCAGTGGCTCCCCACCCTGGTCCTAGAGTACCCCCTGCCCTGCACATCTGATCCAACAAGGCAATTAGCTTTTCCTGAGTTAAAGTGGGTGTTTTACAGCAGGAAAACACTAAATATGCAATACAAATGGGAACCTGTGAACTACTCGACTACTTTTTTGAATGACCAGGCAGCCCCATATTTACTTTTGCTTAAAACAATCCCTCTATTAATACTTTTACTTGTACTTCTCCTGGGAATTATCATCACATTATCATTAAAAATGTGATGCATTCAATTGACTTGATTCAAATGTGTTCATCATTTCAGCATAAAATATATGGTAACACTTTATTTGGATGGCCCACTGTAGATGCTCAGTCTGTCTTTAAGTAACATTCAACTAAATATCTATTAAATGTAACTGAACTTCAAGTTCAGTATGAAGGATTTTATTAAATCTATTCCTAACTCTAAACCTAACCCTAACTGTAACCTCAAGGCAAAACCTACACATGCTCCTAACCCTAACCATAACCATACTGTTGTTGATAAGCAACTGAATATCACCAGAAAGTTTGTTAGTGATTTAGGTATCTGTAGAGTATCTATAAGGGAAACATCCAAATAAAGTGTGACCGAATATATCAACGTATTTATTGCCAAAACTAAGACCAAATTGATGATGTATACCTTCTGTGTTTATGTTTTTAATGTTAAACTGCATTTTTAACTGCTCTGGGTGTCTGTTGCAGGTGTGTATTGTGCAGAAGCGAGACACTAAGAAAATGTACGCAATGAAATACATGAATAAGCACAAGTGTATTGAGAGAGACGAAGTCCGAAATGTGTTCCGAGAGCTGCAGATCATGCAGGGGCTTGAGCACCCCTTCCTCGTCAACCTGTGGTGAGTTATAGTGCACGTGCACACACACACACACACACGCACACAAAGGAGCTTTGAGTGTGGCAGTATCTGTCCAATATGGTAGTGCTTGAGGGCATTGTGCTTGTTTTGCAGGAGACTATAAAGCCCATGCGCACACACACACACACACACACACACACCCATGCACACACACACAGTCTCCACTGGACCTGAAAATGGGACAGCATATTAGAGCAAATTCATTATGCCCTCACAACCCTTATATAAGAACAGCCACATCCTAGTGTTCATACAGCAGTGCAGTATGTGTGTGTGTGTTGTAGCTGTTTTGTGTGTTGAGCCCTCCAGGACTAACTGGATCTGTTAATATATTTTCAGACCAAAACAGAATAACAAAATTAAACATAGCGGGAGAGTTTAGAGGGGTGTTGGGTGTGTTTAGTCAGCTTTCTGCATGTGTGGAATTGGATAGAATTGTGTGTGATTGGTAAAATTAAGCAGTGTTGGGTTTGGCTTTTTGTTCAAAGGCCTTCACATGGTCAATGTCATAAATTTGCTTAATTTTGAAAAGTGACCTAGAAATACTGCAGAATCTGCTTCTTTTTCTTCTGTTTCTTCTGTTTACATTCTGAATCTGTTTCTTCATTTTACATAACTTTTCTTTGTTTTAAATTTTTTAAAAATTCTAAAGGTTTTGTTTTTTTTCCAGGAATAAATAGAAAAATTGCTAGATTTTCAATAGTGTCTCGGACTTTTGGACCCACACACACACATCCTTCTGGGTCGCAGGGGGAGCTGGACTTTTGGACCCCATTATATAAATTTGTTTTAAAGGATGTGAAGTCTTGTTTGAAATATATTGGGTTCTTTAAAGGCATGTTAACACACATTAAAGTGTATTCAGGTTTGTTAGTGATAAACCAATGTTAATGTAAATTACTTGATTAATATTTTTACTGTCCAAAAATGTACGTATTTGTTTGTTGTTTGCTATCCATGATAAAATTTGATTTGATTTGGATTTGATTGTTTAATGGATGTCTCACAGAACACAACATTGCTATTTGACATTTTTAAATTGTTCCTTAAGCAACAACTCTTAGCTAGTACTTGAGAAATCCACTGTGGTTAAAACATTAAACAGGATTTAAAGAAAGGAGTTGTGAGGGTCCATGGCTGTCTGAGGGGTGGCTGCAAATGTGATGCTGGTTTTTACGTAGGTTACATGACCACACCAGGCTTTGAGCAAGAACATGATGACTCACTGCATTGACATTCAGATAATCAAGTTTTCTCCATTCAGATAAGGCTGTCTAAAAGTCTGAATTTATCTGAAGCTTCTAAAACGCACAGCAAAAAGCACTTTAAACAGTGTGAGCAATTTTCACGTTTAAATTGGGGAAGTTTTTGTAAAGGCCACACAATAAAAAATGAACTGAAGAATAACAAAGCATGAACGGCCTTTCAGAGATTCCAGATGCATTTATTGCAAGAAGATATACAAGGAATCCTTTTAAAAAGATTTAGAATGTAATTAACAATATACAAAAGTCAAAATGCATAAAGTGCATTGTCCATTAAGCTCTTTGAGTCCATTAGGCTGTCTGTGTCCGTTAGTCTCTGTGTGTCCATTGTGTGTCCCTTAGGCTCTGTAGAATTTAAAATACATATTATTATCACATGAACTGACAACTACGCACTGCAGGCCAATTTTATTTGATAATTTAAAAGTTATCAAGGTTAATTGAGTAATTATGGCAGGTCTAATTTCACAATAGCAATAAAATGGCATTTCTGCCTATTTGGAGGTCCCACAATTTAATTATGCATTTTTGCTCAAACCATTGATGGAATGTATTTTGAAGGTATTTTGAAGTAAACTGGACTGGAGAGTTATTATTATGTTTAAATTCTGTCTTTTACTGTGGCAGTTGTACATAATTGTTCAATATCAAGTGCTGTTCATTTTTTCTTGGTAGGGCCGTCTTTGTGGGGAGTTGTGAATTGTTTTCATAGGAGGGGGTTTCCACCCTTTCACTTTCACCATGAATCGCTCAACCCAGAATTATGGAGAAAAAATGTTTTATTTGATTATATTAATTAAAAATATCCGATTTTTATTCTGGTGTCAGAATGGCCATTAGGTTGCCAGCTGAAAGAGTTAACAGTGGATACTTGCTTTTTGCGTCGTATCTGTTTATTTGCAAACTGTTCTAAAGATGGATGAAATGGAGTTTTCAGAATGAGTTTCCAAGAAGAAAAAGTCCATTTCCTTCTCACCAGAGAGAGAGAGAGACCAGACACACATCCATTACAGCAGTGCAGAGAACCTTCATGTCACTGTAACCTCCAACTGTTTTTTTCTTATCCTAATGCACACACACAGACATACACACACACACACACACACACACACAAACACATTGTGTGTCCATTAAGGAAGCAGACCCTTCATGCTCTCTGGCGGAGTGTTTCGGTCAAGTGTTGCTATGGCAGCGTCCCCAAGGGTCCTGCCAAGAGCATCAGTACAGATGATCCAGCCCGTCTGAACTATGTTATTTAGAGGATGTGGGGATGTGCTGATGAAGGAGTGATAAGATGAGTGGATGAAGTGATGAGAGAATGAGGGTTGAGAGAATGAGATGGTGAAGGAATGAAAGGGAACAAGATGACGGGATGGGATGAGAGGACGAGGATGAAAGGGTGAGAGGACGAAAGGATGAATTGCTGTGAGGATGAGAGGATGAATAGGTGAGAAGATGATGGGTTGAAGGGGTGAGAGGATGATGGGATGAGGGGAAGAGGATGAATGGTGAGTGAATGAAAGGATGAATGGGCGTGAGGATAAAAGGATGAACTTCATGTTTTTTTGTTCTGTAATGCATCCCGTCATCCTCTGAACCTCACATGTTACCACTCCTTCATCCTATCATCCTCTCACCTCTTTATCCTCTTACCCCTTCATCCTTCTGTTTGCTTTATCAAAAGCAGATGTTTATGTAAGTTTTCTGTAGTTTTGTGAGATATTTACACAACAGGAACAGGAAAACATAAAGCCCAAGGGGTTATTCAATAGAAATGTCCCTTAACACGTTTATTGTAGAGGTGTCAGTTTTGGCAAACTGAGGTGTTGAGGTGGGAATAGGATATTGGGTGTGGTACTGTGTTGTGTTGTGTTGTGTTGTTTGGTAGTTGTGCTGATTGTGTTATTGATCAGACTATAGTTTTTCCTGCTCAGTATGAGTGTTTTATTTTGCTGTTGTTTTTTTGTGTTGATTTTATGATCCAGAGCAGACCTCCATCCTCCTCCCCATCCTGAGGGGGATAGCATGCTGCATTAGCGTGTGTGTGTTCCTGGATCCTGTAGTGGAAACTGTAATTCACTTAAGTCTAGCAGATGGAAACACTCACAGCAACGAACAAGACATAAACTATATAGATCCCCCTGTCTGTTTATCCACCCATGCTATAGACTCACAAATAATTAAGTCCATCCATACTACTCACTCTATCCATCCATACTGCACACTTTATCCATCCATACTGCACACTTTATCCATCAATTCTGCTCAATTTATCCATCCATTCTGCTCAGCTAATCTATCTGTACTGCTCAGTTTATCCATCCATACTACTCAATTTATTCATCCATTCTACTGACTTTATCCATCCATTCTGCTCACCAAATCTATCTGTACTGCTCACTTCATCCATTCATACTGCTGATTTTATCCATCCATTCCGCATGCTTTATTTATCCATTCTGCTCAGCTATTTTATCTTTACTGCTCACTTCATCCATCCATTCTGCTCATTTTATCCATCCATTCTGCATGCTTTATTCATACATTCTGCTCAGCTATTCTATCTATACTGCTCACTTCATCCATCCATTCTGCTCATTTTAATCTGTTCTTCTCGCTTTGTCCATGCATACTGCTCACTCTATCCATCCATACTGCAAACTTTATACATCCATACTGCTCACTTTGCCTATTCTTACTGCACACTTTATCCATCTATGCTATACTATTTATCTATAAATACTGCACAGTACTGACGTTAATAATCCAGCCTAAGCGAATACAGTTTTTCTCTAACAGATGGATTATCTAAACATGCACACACACACACACACACACACACATATCACACACACACAGTTCATTAGTGATTAAAAGCAGCGCAGATTCATCAGCTAATTCAAAGTGACACCACAGACTGCAGTGAAGGAGGGACTCCCAGCTTACCAGTGAAAGACTCCAAAATACAAAGTGACAGACAGCCTATGTCCCTGCTTTACTCAGGACTCATTCACCACCACAACAGCAACAAAAACAACAACAGCAATAACAATAATTATAAATGACGCTTTCTTCCTCATAATGATTTTATTTTCAGGCTGTATTTGTGCCAGAACAAGCAGGATCAAGCATCTACCACATTGTAATCAGGCCTGTATTTGTGGATTCTACACCTTATTCATAGTTAAAATATGTATATATATATATATATATATATATATATATATATATATATATATATATATAATTTGTTATTTTTTTGAAAATTGTGTCAACTGGTGCCGCTTTTTACCTGGATTAACAGAGAAAGTTGGTAGCTGCTTTCTTAAATTGAGTTAGCTGGGCCCCCGAGTGGTGCAACCATCTAAGCGTTGACCCTATCGTCAGGAAATCACGACTTCGATCTCTGGTGATGCTACAGCCATCCGTAGCCGGGAGTCCAAGAGAGCACAATTGGCCTCACTCTCTGGGTGGGTAGGATGGCACCTCCTTCTCCCCCCATCACTTAACGCGATGCTAGTCAGCGCAGGCGTCTGTTAGCTGACGTAACAGATCTGGCAGTTAGTGCTTTCCTCCGAGCACGTTCAGCTGTCCAGTGACGTTGCCTGAGCGACAGTTCGAAAAGATGACGCTTCACTGGTCTCGGAGAAAGCCTGTGTTAGCCTTCAACCTCCTAGCGTTGATGGTATGGTGTGATTGGGGGAGTCCTAACTAGCGGGTGGAATTGAAGACGACTAAATTTGGGTAAAAATCCAAAAAAGAAAAAAAAAAAACGAGTTAGCCAATATTCCATTTGTTAGATTTTGACAAAGCTGAACATGCTTTGTGAGATAGGGCCAGAACAAAACAGTCCAATTAAAACAAGCTGTGTCATGTTTGTTTAATATCGAGTAGTAATACTGAGGAAGCATGGGTTTCACTAAATAAAAGCAAACTTAAATATCATCCGATATTGTGATATATTTGGAAAATGTCATGATACTTAATTTTATCAATACTTACCAGCACAAAATGTTACAAAATTGATCATCAAAAAAAATAATAATAATTCACATGTACATCCTGTATCTCCATTGACCAGCCAGATCTGCCATTATTAAGTGTTCCAGAACCTCATAATAACCTCATAATTTACAAATTAGGCACATTCTACAATTCTACAAATTTCTCTTCCCCTCTCTTTGTCTCTTTCCTGCTCTCCATCTTTTTGCAGCCACCTTTTTGTACATTTTGCACAAAAATTTTCCTTTTTGCTGTAATTTTCAATCCTATACTAATTTGTAATTTTTTTAAGCACTATTTTTTTCAACGTTGCTAGGCGAGGTCACTTAGAAGCGCCTGCCGTGCAGAAAGAGCTTCTGGATGACCAGACATCAAAAGACCAAACCGCTGCCATTCAAACCATTCCAACACAAGCTATTACCAGAACCATAGGTTAGCCAGTGTAGAGATGGATTTCTGTCAAGAAAATGGATAGCTGTCAAGACTCATGGGTTACCTCACTGTCATGGGCATTTTTCTGCCTTTGTGAATTCACAGCCATCAATGTTAATCTTCCAGTTTTCACACTTCTGAAACAAAATAAAAACATTTGTTTCATAAAATGCTGGGAGCATCATTGTAGCAACAACTAGTACTGGGCTCAGCCGCACTGCTCAGTGTCATTAATTTAATTTAAAGCACAGTGCCAGGGCGTAACCATTGGTAGGCATGGATAGGCCTGGACCTACCCAGATTGATCACACCTACCTAGTAAACTATGGAAAGAGTATTTATAAAGCTGCATTTTTAAAATAATGAAATTCCATTTGTTTCCTGTGATTGCTGTTATTGTATTTTAGCCAACCAAAATCATTACACCCTCTGCATCATTCCTGAATATGCAAGCTATAGTCCAGTTGCCAGTCCACCAGTGTTTGAATTTAAAACTCCGGCTACAGTCAACATATGTAACTAGGGCAGCTATAAAAGTGAGATTCCATCACTGTTAGAGTGATGTATGTCATTTTCTACATTTAATGTCCAAAGCTGAAATCTCATATAAAAAACATCATCAGTAGACTGCGAATATACTCTTTTACAGCAAAAGCTGAAATGGACTGTGTCAAAATGTCTACTTCAATCACTGAGTCATCAGAGGCAAGACTCAAAAGGTGCATAAACATCTTTCGTGCCCGCTGTGGCAGTATGATTTAGCCTAATATAATTATGTTTAGGTTTTTAAGTTTGCTGTGTTGTTTTCCTTCCCTTTGAACATCTCAGCGGTCTGATTTTAACTCTGTTATATCGTCTTCATTTGGTGTGGGTGGAATAGGTAGACTGATGACTGCGCTGCTGTCAGCAATAAGCTATAGCTTAATGTTATGACATTGGCTACAGAAATTATGTAAAAAAGCATGCAAGGAGGCAGCATGCAGTTGTTAGATGATCAATGAACTGGGGGGCAGAAACAAGTGGGTATATCCATGAAAACCAGAAAACTGGGAAACCAAAAGAAAAACGAAAGACCAAAGCAAACACTCTGTTAGACACAGCTCAGAAACAGTGCCATAGCTACTTGGGGGGCAGGAGAGCAATTGCACTGGGGTCTATGGCACAGGGGGCCCCACAGCAAACAGGACCCCTAGAATTTATAATCGGCCCCCCGTATAGATACTGACAACTGTACACCCTCACAGACATATCCTATTTCTTAACAACATAACTCACCAGTTAATTTACATCAACACTACTCAGATAGTACTGATATCTCCCTCTAATTCATGGGGTGACCAACACAGAGTAACACGTTACAGTAATTTTTAAACATTTTTCGAAGCACCTTTTATAGGCTGATGAGCCATTCATAATTTGAATTAAGCTAATTTGGCTGTGTTGTATTTAACATGTAATTAAGCATTGTTTTGTTTACATGTTTGTTTCACATGCATAATTTTTTAGAATATTCTGGGTACTGACAAGCAACGCGGCTGCAGCATGAAAGAAGGTCAAGTATAGTGGCAATAGAAGTGGCACTGTTAGCTAGCTGGATAACAGGTAGCTAGCTAGATGGTTTGAATGAAAGCAGTTATATACAAGTAAGCATGTTTTCTGCAAGCAGTGGAAGCTATTACATATGAAACTTTTTGGTGTGTTAATGTAGTAATCCCTTCCAAATAGTATCTAAAAAATATGTAGTTGAGTATAGCACTAATAAATACTGTATGTGGCGGATATTTATAGTCATTTTGAAGTATTTTGCATTTCTTTTTATCAAGAAACAGTAAATAATTCTCTCTCTCTTTCTCTCTCACTCTCTCTCTCTCTCACTCTCTTTCTTCAGGTATTCATTTCAGGATGAAGAGGACATGTTTATGGTGGTGGATCTCTTGTTAGGGGGAGACCTTCGCTACCACCTGCATCAGAACGTTCATTTTAAAGAGGAAACAGTGAAGCTGTATATCTGTGAGCTTGCTCTAGCTCTTGATTACTTACAATCATGCCACATCATACACCGGTGAGTTCAACATCATCCACTATAGAGTTACACTGCATTCTGATGTACAGTAGTTCTTCACTGTGTTTAGATGGTTAATACATACTTCAGTCTATTAACACGAAAATACAGTAGTTACTGCTCTCACTCCAACATGATCTAATGAATAGGACGATAAGGACAGTTTTACAACTAAATCAAATTATCCTGCATTTTATCTTTTTTGAAGCACTAAAAAATTATTATTATGAATTACATATAAATAGGAATTACAACTCAAATACTCCCCTTTTCCCCTTACCCCAAATAAAACCAACAGGTACACAATACTGTAAAATCTTAAACAGCCATTGGAATTGTTTAAAATTGTCTGGGCAGAAAATACATTTAGCCAGTAAAAACATTATACAACATTATAAGTCATGCAAGTAAACCTAAATATAGTAAAACATTACATCATGTTTTTAAAAAATGTATTAAAATCTTAGTTTGTGAGTTCGGGCCATACCTTCCATGTATAAGCGTAATATGAGGGGGAATTATTCTAGGCAGCTTCTGCTTGGAGCTAGTAGGCTGGACCATCTTTTGGATGGTGGTTGGACTGAGAGACCAAACTAAGAAACAGGGAGGAGGTGGGGTGGTGGTGAGGATTGCGAAAACTTTATCACGGAAACAGAAAGTAAAGATGGAAATTTATAGTACATTACATTGGAAGGGGGATGGGTTTTAGGCATGGCCCAAACTTCAGTTAAGTCATAACACTTTTGCAACAATAGAGTTGTTTAGTTCTTGACTTCTTGGTGTACTCCAGACATTGCATGTTAAATTCCATCAGTAGGACACCTGATTTAAGGTAATGAAGGACTGATTTGATTAATAAGGTATTGGGTGTTAACTGTAAATACTGGGCTTCCTTAGTGAAAGCTTTGGAAATGATTAAGCTGACACACTCAGTCACAATGTATTGTTCACTTTTATTTATTGTAATCTTAGTGTTTTTTTAATAAATAATAAATTTTTGCCTCTCAGAACCTTTACCTCTCAGAAAATATGGAGGTAAGGGATAAAATGTACCCTAGTTCAGAACACTGGCATAAATTATAAAGATAAAGATTTTATATTTACTCTCTACCAGTGTATACTTTAAAGTAAGTATAAAGTACTACTTTAATGCTGTGATGTCAGACTGAGCAAAAATAGTTAATCCTCTCCATACATGTTCATGTTTAACACTATATGTCATTTTAACTCTGGAAAAAGTGAAGACTCTCTCCTGAGCTCCGTAACATGCTAATCAAATCTGCCGAGTGGAGTTTTAGTCCAGCAGGTGGAGCTGTCTGAAGAAAGGCTGTAACTTAATATATTTTCTTTTAATTTTCAAAGCTGAAGGTAGGACAGAAGGCCATTTTCTGGCCAGTGATCAAGCCATTGGTCACACATTACTCACAGACCCACTGTAGTTTGAACCCAACTTAAAGAAAACAAAGTGAAAAAGTGAAGAATGATGTTATAAGGTAATGCTGCTTTAAAGTCGGATGGGAAATGACTGCTTGTTAGTCATTCTCGATTTGCCCTAGATAGACTGTTCTCTCAACTGAGACACGTACACACAGCAGATTGAATGAGGAAATGACAAAGAAACAGAGACAATGAGGCACACAATTACTCTTACAAAAGCCAATAAACCTGTATACTCCTGAATTATTCATGTAATTAATTGATGAAAAAAAGAGCAGTTCTTTAAGATGTTTTTTGGAAATTGTTTTCATTAACCATTGAAATACACATGAAAACATTTTTATAACGTTTCTTATTGCAGTGGCATAAGCAGTAAAAATCTAAAAATATGTTTGAGGGTACTTTGCATTTTGTTGTCATATGGCAACAGCATATGATAATGGAACTGTAATTGTGTGTACATGGTGGAATAAAGAAATACGCTGCCATTAAACACCACTCACTTTCATGATCCAGCCTTGACAAAGGAAGATGAAACATGAAAAAAAAAACATGAAATTTGAATGTGAAAAGGTTTGAAGATGGAAGTGTATTCATTACCCCCACTGTTTACACTGCAGATTACACTTCTACAGTCGCAAGGTGTTGCCATATGGCCACAATTATATTACTCATTTTATACAAAACCTATAACATCTGAACTGGCTTCATTTGTGAAAAAGAAATTGTAACATCCCACAGATTATTTGATGTGATTTGTGTGTGACAAAAAAGTAAACAGGCTGCAACAGGAAGGCATGCAATCTGAAAAAGTGTATATACTGTTTTATACATGAAGCCTTCAGATTCTCAAAAGAATATAAAATCAGATTTTTTAGATTGTAGTTACGCAGAAAATAAAAAAATAAGTATCGCAAGTTCGATCCCTGGTGATGCTACAGCCATCCGTAGCCGGGAGTCCAAGAGAGCACAATTGGCCTTGCTCTCTCTGGGTGGGTAGGTCTAGGAGGAAGCCTGTGTTAGCCTTCACCCTCCTAGCGTTGGTAGTATCGTGTGACTGGGGGAGTCCTAACTAAATAAGTCCTAAATAAAAATCAGCATTGTCATTGCAACACTATGCAGTAAGGGGTAAAAAAATACCAGCTGGGATAAAGATGTGAAAGATTTCCATAAGGTTCTGGAATTGTTTATTAAAAAAATAAGTTGTATTCCAAAATATTTTGGTAATATATACTTACTATATAGTCATCCAAAAAGTTGTAATTTTCTATATTTGCAGTATCTTTATCGTCCCATAAGTTTCTCACCTGTCATTTATATTCCTATATATTATCTATATCTATATTTCTGTCATTTATCTAAGGTTCTTTACTATTTATTTGCCTTTTACATCTGCTCTGTTCTATAGGTTACACTTTTGAAAATGAAGGTTTAAGTCGCCATTTCAGTTACTGTAATCTGAGGTGGTTGCTAGGGTGTTACTAGGTGATTGCTGTAGTGCAGTGGCACCAAACCTCGTCCTTGAGAACTCCCTACCTGCAGGTTTTACCTCCAGTCCAAATCCAACACTTCATTTAGCTTATCTAGGACTTTGGAAGGCAGTAATTAAATGGATCAGTGGGACTGATTTTGGAGTTAAAGTTTGTAGAAGGGTAGATCTCCAGGAGCAGAGTTGTGACCAGTGCTGTGGTGTTTCAGGTGTTTGCTAAGGTGTTGCTATGTGGTTGCTATGGTACCCAAAGTGGGTACTAAGGTGTTGTTAGGCAGTTGCTATGGTGTCTTAGATAATTGCTAGGGTGTTGCTAGGTGTTTGCAGTGGTATTCCAGGTAGTTGCTATGGCGTTGCAGTGCAGGTGCTGTGGTATTCCAGCTGATTGCTAAGCATTGCTAGATAGTGGTTATGTGTTTGCTAGGTCATTGCTGTGGTATTAATAGGTGACTGTCATGGTATTCTAGGTGGTTGCTAGGGTGTTGCAAAGTGGTTGCCTTCTAGCTATCTAAAGTGGTTGCTAGGGTATGTTTAGGTGGTTTCTATGGTATTTCAGGTGGTTGCTAGGGTAATGCTATATGGTTGCTTTTGTATCTCTGTTGGTTGTATTGTGTATTTAGTGTATTACTTCGTAATTACGGTATAACTGCTGTGTACTCCCCCAATGTCAGGATTGAGAACAACTACACTAGATGCTAGTACATTGTATCTACAGTGATTAGGGTATGTAGTACCTTAGTCACTCCAACTCATCCCAAAGGTGTTCTATAGATCTTAATTACCCCAACTTTTCTCAGATGTGTTCAGTGGTGCTTCATCACTCCAACTCATCCCAAAAGTGTCCAATCAACCTTTATCAATTCAACTAATCCCAAAAGTGTTCATTGGAGCTTCATCACTTCAACTCATCCCAAAGATGTTCAGTGGAGCGTCATCACTCCAACTCATCAGTGTTCAGTAGTGGTCAGTAGAGCTTAAACACTCTACTGCTTCATGGCTGAGTTGTTGTTGTGCCTAGATGTTTCCATTTCACAATAATAGCACTTGCAATTGACCGGAGAAGATCCAGCAGGACAGAAATTTCACAAACTGACTTTGAAAGAAGACTGCATGGCTATGTGCTTGATTTTATACACCTGTTAGCAGTGGGTGTGGCTGAAACAACTGAACTCAGTGAGTAAGTGTGGTGTCCATATACATTCATATGATATACACAGTCATTGGTTGGAACTGGACATCAGTGATAAAAAATTTGAATCTATGTTCACTCTGTGGAAATCACATGATTTTCATAAACAGGTTAATGTACACACTACATTCACACAATGAATGTACAAAATAACAAAATAATGTTCTTGAAATATTTCAAGTAATAAATCTATTCTGATGAAGCTTATTTTGTTTATTCATATAATTAAATCCATCTAGCAAAATCCAGTGACAGCCCTACAGCCAACTACAAAGCTTTAGACTACAACTTAACGTAAAAAAAATTACATCAGCACTACACATCAGCATGCTGAGCACACTACTCACTACATCACTTTTAAAAATAGAGCGCTTTTAGATCAATGTCAAGGGAGAAGCACACACGCATGTGAACACCTGCATAGTGATTACACTCATCACATTTAGATAACAGAGATACTCAACGTCAAATGTGCACAGTGCAGACACATCCCCTCTAATGAGCAATCAGCTTCAATCATTTTTCCTCTGCATGTCTTCTCCATTAAAATCAACTCTCACACACATACACACACATGCACAAATGCACACTCCTGAACCTTAAGAAGAGGCTTTAGCTCCTCTCCCAGAGTGATGTCTCATCAGCTTCCCTTTAATCAGCTGCAGAAGCTAATTAAAGCAGCACACCATTTATATTAAATTCTCTTCTGCTTATTTGTCATGCTTATAAGTTCTATATTCTGTGCTGATACTAAAGGTATGCACTGAATTGAGACAGAAACAATTTTAAGTCAATATGGAATTTATGTTTATAATAGTTAACCCCTTGCTGTGATTGATACAGATACCAATTATATCCATAAATTTGCTTTTTCACATTTTAAAACAAGTTTACAAGTTTGATACATAGATGAAGTACAATACACATAGCCAAGCTAAATCGACTGGAAAATTATTTTAAACATATTAATATCTAGCAGCTACACTTATCTAGAGTGATTTCCATTGGTAAGTAAATGTAGCACAAGAAGTAGATCAGGGACAACATATCTGGGAAGAGTTGGACTGATGAAGCTCCAGTAAACACCTTTTGGATGAGTTGAAGTAAAGAAGCTTTACTGATAAGTTTGGGTGACTTGGAGTGTTATACCCCTGGGATGAGTTGGAGTGAACAAGGTCTATCTTTGGTATAAGTTGGAATGATTAAAGTTTAGGATGAGCTGGAGTGATGAAGCTTGATTAAACACCTTTAGGATGATGCTTGGATTGTTGAAGCTCCATTGAACACTTTTTAGATAAGACAGAGAGTTGAAGCTCTGCTGAACATCTTGGGGATGAGTGATGAAGTTCCAATAAACATCTTTGGGATGAGTTGAAGTGATAAAGCTCCACTGAACACCTTTGGGATGAGTTGGAGTGTTGAAGCTCCACTGTCCACTGTACACTGGACACTGGAAGACTTTGTGATTAAGGTCTATTAAGAATCTTTGGGATGAGTTAGAATGAGTAAGGTTTGGAATGAGTTTGAATAGTGACGCTCCAGTGAACACTCCTGGGATGAGTTGGAATGATTATGGTTTGGGATGAGCTGGAGTGATGGAGCTTGATTGAACACCTTTGGGATGAATTGGATTGTTGAAGCTCTGTTGAACATCTTTGGGGTGAGCTGGAGTGTTCACTGCCAGTTGAAGATCTAAGTGATTATTTTAATGTTGGCTTAGCTGGGTATTATTTGTTGAGGTTCATTGTTTCCAAAATTCTGAAATCCCTTGAGGGCAGATTGGAATGTTTTTATTACTTTGTTTTCATGTAACAATGAAAATGGACATATGTTGTTTGGTTTAAAACATCAAAAGTTCACTTTTGCACCATCATTTGCTTTCAAAAGTTGCAGTGCCAAGTTGGACTAGGACTATAATATACTAATAATTAGTTGTATATTTAGATAATAAATTATATAATGTTATGTTACAATGAATTATAAATGGATTTCATTTTTCCCCTTTCTTCTTTCTATTTTTATATTCTGAAAAAATCTTAATCTGTCTTAACTCACATTTGATGTGTCCAGGTCCAGTCTAGACAGCACCACTAGTACTGACTTTCTTCTCATGCTTCAGCAGACAAAAATGCATGTACATCTAAAGACATCAAGTAACAATCATAAAGTGGCAACAGACTGTCTTATCAAGCTGGTAACAGGATAAAGCTTTGAGTGTAAACATAGCCCTGTGACATTTTAAAGTGTGCTTTGTCCTGATTATGAGAATGTGTTTTAATGGGAATGCTCTGTTCTGTCGTTTCAGAGACATAAAACCAGATAATATCCTGCTGGATGAGCATGGTAAGGCCGTAACGAGATTTTACTTCTACATCTAATCTCAGGTCTTAATACCTAAATTGCACACAAGCAGCTGGACTAAAGAGTGAATAAATAGGCATATGGATGAGTATAAAGTGGATGGGTGGATGGATGGATGGATGGATTGGAGTTACTCAATTTATTTTAAGCAAAATAATACATATATTGATCAATATTATTTATTAATGAGACACACAAATAATAATCTGATATTTTAGTATGTCCTGATTTGATAGGTTAGCCTGATCTGTTAATTTAGTGTAATCTTTTAGGTTAGCCTGATCGCCCTTGGTTTCTCAAAAGCATTTTAGCACAAAATGATTCTTAAATGGCAGAGCGAGTATCACACTGAACACTCTCTCTAGTTAAAGTGATCTTAAAACTAAGATGAACCTGATCTGTAAGGTTGGCCTCATGTGTGAGTTGTAACTCAGCAGATAATTACCCCGTTTAGTCATGTGTTAAGAGCAGAAAAATCACCAAACTGTGCTGGACACCAGACCTCCAAGACTGCCACCCTTGGTCTAAACTTTCCCGTTGGCCACATTTTAGAAATTTAGCCTGAGCGGCAAAAACATGATTATTCTTAGCCTTTATTATGCTCTGTTTATTTAGAGCCATCTATGGGTTTATTAGTCTGGCAGAGCAGAACCATGTTACTCTGTATTCACTGCACTTCCTCTGTGTGTATCACAGGTCATGTCCACATTACAGACTTCAACGTCGCTACAGTACTAAAGGACTCTGAGAAAGCCACATCTATGGCAGGAACTAAACCATACATGGGTAAATATCACAACACTAATATGAATATTTAAAAACAAAGCTAGTTTTCATTGTTTCTCTAAATTCCATTATTATAGCCTGAGTTGCCAGTTTATTAGGTGCATGTCTTGTACCCTACATTCATTGCCCATTTTATGAGGTACTCCTACCATATAGGTGCATGTTGTAGGTTTACAGTTACCAACTGAAGCCCGCCAGTGGCTGCACAATTTATTACCCCTCTCAATTTATTACCCCACTCATCAACAGAAAGGGTCCACCTTAATACCAACACTAGCCAAATATTATTTGAGTGGTAGAGAGTTCTCAGCACAGCAGTAACACCAACACAGTAATTTGTACATAGAAAAAGATGAGCTATAGTCTCTAAATCTTTAATTATTGGTCAGTGTCTGGCCATAAGGCTGCTATTGCCTGAATATTTTTGGTGGACAGACTATGCTCAACCTAGCAGTGACACTGTGTGACAACTTTTAAAACCCCAACAATGCACTGTTCTGCTTCAGCATCCGCGCATGTGCTACTTTGCACAGATTAAATACAGTCAGTATTTGTATAACCACACCGTGCAACTTTATGGTAGGTATACCTGATAAAATGGCCATTAAGCTACAAGGTGGGTGTACCTAATAACAACTAGCAGATCATATGTTAAATATCAACTGTTACACTGAAAATGTTTGTTGTTGTTGTTAAGCATATCAGTTTGTAGTTGATTCTGAGGAAAATCAGTTCATTTGATGGTAAGTGCATGTAATTTGGAGGCAAAAAATAAATTTGAGAAGAGATAGCATAGTGTAACATACAGTGTTTGGTTGTGTAGGAGAGATTTACTGCATTTTGTGCTTTGTGTTTAAACTTTGGACTAAGCTGTATGTTCAGCTCATCCAGTCAGACAGGCTTAACAAGGAAGAGCTGAGTTGACTTGGTGTGTATATAACTTTCTGAGTAATGCTATAAAGAATCCTGTAGAAACTTTGCATGCCAGAAAGAGCCTCCTCTCTTACAGCCCCAGAGATGTTCCAGTCCTTTGTGGATGGTGGTCCGGGTTATTCCTACCCTGTAGATTGGTGGGCCCTGGGCATCACAGCATATGAGATTTTACGAGGATGGGTAGGTTCTCACACAATATATACAGCGTCAAAGGCAAAGGAATGACTGACAGGGATGCCCTATGTCCCCAGTATGTTTTGCATTAAATATTGAACCCTTCCACTCAAGCAGAGGGGCAACAGAGAGAACATTCTGGCTATTAATCTGAGGTTACACTTACTTGGTTACATCTACCAAGTACCTACACTCATTGGCCACCAAGTCCACCTGCCTTATAGGTTTACAGTTTACATGTGGCAGTCTGGCAGTCCTGAAACAACTTTGCCAACACTTTTGAAGCAGATTCATCATTTATGCTCGAATCTCCAAATGATTCAATGACATGCGAAAGTTTCACAAATTAGATGCTGAGTAGTTTGTATGCCATTAAAGGCAGTCTAATCTGCTCAACTTTGATGAATAAGGACCAAAATTAATTGTCCAGAATATTAACTTTACTGAGATAAATGTCTGGAACAAAGCTAGTAATTAAAAAGTAAATGTATAATAAATGATTCTTGATCATCCACTTCAAGTATAGCCATTAACTGAGAGTGGCTGTAGTGATGGTAGTTTAGTTCAAGTTCATTGGATTTTTCCACAAGAAAAAAGGACATCTTTCTAATTCACAAAATTCTTTCTGGTGAAAGGTGAGTGGCACCTTCTCTCATTTATATTTTTACTGATTTAACTAAGAATCAAATTTTCTCAAATTTTCTCTAAAAATTAATAATGTATCTGCGGCATTACCCTCATAGATGTCTTTAAAGAACTGGTAGTTTCTTATATTTGGTTTTCAGCCTAACATATTGTTGCCTGCTAAACAATCTCTGTCATGTTAAAGTTGTTTTTGAGAGATCTACATACAAATATTTCATTTCTAATTAATAGAGACTCAACTTCCTTACTTGACTGTTTTAGATAAATTTGTGCAGGGGATAAAAATTCAGACTGTCTCTTTAAATGGAGAAGTTTAAATGAAAGAACCTCTCCTGTGATTTTGCAGAAGCTCTTTAAACATTGAACATTGTAAGGAGTCATTTGACACCAAAGATTGTAAGTTTGTCTAAAACTTGTTAATTTAGCTACGCAATCTGCTAATGTTGAGCTTTTTACCTGAATATAATGAATATGTGTTTCATACCTGTAGCTACAGATTAAGCAGTCAGATAAAAATTTGGGCTAATGGAGCGATTCGAACGCTCAACCTCTGCCATACATGTTCACATGGGCAGTGCTCTACTGCTGAGCTACATTAGACACTGGCATGACCAGCCAATAAATGGCTTCTCTCTGAGACTCAACAATTATGAAGAAAACAATACAAAGTACTGTCAAAGTACTTAAAGAATCAGACATTTTACAATTGTCTGTGGCTAATGGGTTCAACTGCTTATCATAGATGTATTATTAGTGTTATTTGTAGTTAGTAAATATGCTGTTCATACCTGTAGCTACAGATTGAGCAGTCAGATAAAAAAAAGAGCCAGTGGAGCGAATCGAACGCTCAACCTCTGCCATGCATCATCAACATGGGTGGCACTCTACCGCTGAGCTACATAGGCACTGGTGTGACTTAAACAGAAATAGCTTTTCTTTGAGATGCAAAGATTATGAAAGTAATTGTTATGAAAAATTAGATGTATACATGTACATAGGTGCAACTTCAGTGATCCTGCCTGTTCACCACTGCCAGAACTTCACATAAAAAATGAGTTACAGTAAACTAATTATGATGAACCTGTTGGTTGGGTCTAACAGAGAACAACAAGTGTTTGGTTTCACTTTTACTCATGCTGTTTCCATATTTTCTAAAACAACAGTGCTTCTAATGTACGGAAAATTATATCAGTACTGGTATCATAGACCTAAAATCAGAAATAGAAGGTATTGCAGTGTATTTACCATTGTTGTCTGTCAACATGAACTGCTCGAAGGAGCTGTGAAGCACACCTCCTTCCGACAGTTCAGTGCAGTGACTGTCAAAGTACTTAAAGAATCAAACATTTTACAATTGCCTAATATATATGGGTTCAACTACCTATAATAGTTGTATTATTAATGTTGCTTGTACTTAGTAAATATGTTGTTCATACCTGTAGCTACAGATTAAGCAGTCAGATAAAAAAAGTGCCAATGGAGTGAATCAAACGTGCGACCTCTGCCATGCATCATCAACATAGGCAGCACTCTACTGCTGAGCTACCTAGGCACTGGTGTGACTAACCCATAAATAGCTTTTCCTTGAGATGCAATGATTATGAAAGTAATTGTTATGCCCATTCACCACTGGTTGAACTAAACACAAAAAATTATAATGAACCTGTTGGTTGGGTTTGTCAGAGAACAATGAGTGTTTGGTTTCACTTTTACCTGTACTATTTCCATATTTTTTAACGACAGTGCTTCTGATGTACTGTAAATTCTAGTGTATTAATTACACAAACTACAAACAAAAAATACATAACCAGCTAATTGTGATCAATCAGTTGGTTGGGTTTATCCAAGAATGATTGATTGTATATTATATGTAATGTCTGATTGCACTATCCCTGTACTGTTAGGTTGGTTCCATTCATTTGCATGTGAAAACAATTTATTTCATCCTTGATTTTCCATTTTGGATAATGTATTGCCTTCATTTACTTGGTTCTTTGAGGAAATACTCTCGATTACTACAGGATAGGGAAAAAGGAACAGCAGTGGTAGGCGGTATTGATAACATTTAAAATCGCAATATTTTCCAAATACATCACAGATAATTTTTAAGTTTGCATTAATAATGTTAACTATACCATGCTTTCTGAGTGCTACTATGCTAAAATAACATCTTACAAACCTGGCATATCTTGTTGCTTGTTTTGATTAGACTGTTCTGTTGTTTGTTTGTTTGTTTGTTTTTAAATAGAAATTCCACAGAATTTTCTGAATTCAATTATATAAACAAAGCCATTTAGAAAGGTTAAGCTTCTTTGTAGAGAAGCTTACTGTGTCCTGTCAGTTGTAGGAACCATATGTCTGAAGCATTTAATGCCACTCAAAAGCTGTTAAAAAAAGTTATTGCAAAAAATGATTATTAATACTTTACCTAATGTCTGAGACATCGTTATATATAGTTCTGAGATAAGCTGCCCTATTTTTTTTTATTTTTAAAGTTCTTTAAATCACAAGATGCATAGGGTCATTGGTGTGATAGTAAATGAATTATGTTGTGAAAAGTATGAATAACTTTGTCAACTGTTGAATTAAACAGATAACACAGTCCAACACAGCATTGTAGATATGGACCAGTCACGAACTTGAAATATATGGTAAGACATTAAACAACAGTGTTTAAAAACCAAAACATTCATGCTGGTACAATCATAAACTAACAAACTAACAAAAAAACAAACAAAAAATAAACAAATAAAAATCGATACCAAATCAATGCTGATATTTTTTGTAGCCTTGACCCATGATAGTAGGACTAATATTTCATCTATGAGGACCAAAAATAATGGATGATGTCCACTGACAATGTGTTTCTGAAATGGCCTGGCAATGTTATATCCAACCCCAAAACATTTGGAACAACTCTGAACAGCTGGTGAATGGATCAGTGGACTATTCATTGCAGTTCCTGGAACCACAATGACCTGCAAAAAACTATTTGAGTTTGTTTACACTTCACAGGTTTGGTTTGATTAAAGTGTACCTTGGCACAATTGCTCTGACATTCAAACCCTAGTGTTGAAATGAAATAAGTCAACTGAGACCCCCTGAGGAGGTCGGTCTTGGTCTGCTTTCATAGAAGCTCTGCTTATTTGAAGTATGAATGCAAAACAGACCAAAGAGAAACAAAATGTTGATGGTATCTGGCATCATGTCTGAGATTCTAGAGAATTGCAAGGATTTGTATGTAACACAACATTGTCTGGCATCATGTCTGAGATTCAAGAGAATTGCAAGGATTTACATGTAAGTAAGTCTTAATAATATAGTTTAAAAGTTTACGTATTTCCGAACAAATTTATATTTTACTCAAAGAGTAAAAGTTTTTAAAAGGGAGATTTATAGACTTAACATACAATGAGTTTGTTAATTTACTTAGTAAAAGTGACACAACCAGTTCCCTTAACTTTTTTAAGTAAATTTAAAAGAAGCTCCATGGTGCCTTTATTGTTGGCTGTGCCGCAATAGTTTTTGAGTGACACCAATGAAAACATAATTCATATCACTAAGGACTTATTGTTGATTTGTTTGATCTAACATAAAAAGCAACTAAAAATAATTTTGACGCTAAATAGAATTTTTTGTCTTTATGAGATCATGTTTAAAACATTCACTAGCCCAAATGTTACAACATACTTTTTCGCAATCCAGGCTATTAGCATAAAACTCACTAAGCTGATGCATCGGATAAAGAAAAATAAGAAAAATATCAGCACAGCTGCACACAAGAGAATTCTGAATGCAAGTGTTGTTGCCCAAATTTAAACCACAGTAAATGCCAGCATTCAGTATTTACAATGTTTACCATGCTTCTATAGCAGCAATACAAAACCCCACACTTATAATGAAAAAGAAAATGAGAAACCAGTTTTGAAAGCCAGCATGACAATAAATGTCCACCAACACAGTTTAGTTTGAAGTCTGACACAGGGGCACAGTGATCCCCAATTAAACAATTCGCACTCTCACCTTTGGTGGCTTTTCAGTGAACGAACAGCTCGGCCATAGTTGCCCAAGTTAATGTTCTTGCAGGGTTCCACCACAAAAAAGTTCATCTGTGTTTGTTTTGAGTATCAGTGTGATGCCATTCGTCTCCCCAATCTGAAAATTTCCCTCCTCTTAAGTCCCACTTCTGCCATATTCCAGGTGGGGCAGGACAAAATAAAAGTTTCATTACACCAGTGTGTAGGTCCTGACTTGAGTTAAAAATAAAAGATACCACCAGTAGATAATAACTTTATTCAGAACATTTCATATTCTTTGTCGTTAATCAGGACATGTATAGCTAAGTTTGTTACACCATAAAACTAAATGCAACAACAGAATTGAGAAATTATGTTAGTAATACTGAGCAGTAAATTGAACATCAGAAATAGACCCTTTTTTTAATGTATGTAAATACATATATATGGACATTGTGTTATATTGGTCCCCTGAGCCAAGCTGGATGTTTATGGTGATGCTTTTCTTTTGTGGCAATAACCGCATTTTCCCTCTCTCTCTTTCACGTTCTCAGCGGCCGTATGACATCCACTCCAGCACAGCAGTGGATGATGTCCTCAACATATTCCGTGGTGACCGCGTGCGGTACTCGTCCACCTGGTCCAAGGGCATGGTTGCTCTGCTCCGCAGGGTGAGTGGCATAATGTGAATAGTAAATTATTGATACACGGACTGAAGTTTGCATCTAATTTAGATTTTTGCTAACTGATAAAGCTTTTAACAGGAAATAACATACATTTTACCTTGCATGTTGCAGTTTTACAATGACTTTGTAAATAGTCCTAGCATAGAGCTGCAACTGTTTTCCATTTCTAACAACTGACTGGAACCTGGTTAGGGTATGTGTCATATTCACAATCAGTTGTGTATCAAGGATTTCTGGAAGGCATAGAGTGAGTTGTTCACCTAAAATTGTCTCATTGTAAATCAAAACGTGGTTTTCTAATTCCATTGTCAGTTTCTAAGTATACTGGAGATTAATCTAACATGTAAGGCCTTCTGTCCAGCTCCTGAGGGCATAACCAATGGGAGAGCTCACTTGGCCGTATCGCCTTAGATACCACATGAAAAAGCCTGATTGTAAAATTTTCCTTTGGGTGTTTCCAGATTTTAACCCCTTTGCTTCCAGCCAGTCTTACTACAATACTCACACAGTTTAAATAGAGCAAACATGATGATTTTATTAAATAAAAATTAACTAAGAATTACAGACATACATTGTTTACTCTCCACAAACAGTACGACCTTCTCTCAAGGCCTAAAATGTCCTGAGGGTTCTTCACTGATAAAGTGAAACTGAAACAAATACATTTTTCAAGTCACAACCACACAATTAACTGTTATGTTTTGTTTTGTGTGTGTGTGTGTGTCTGTGTGTAGTTGCTCACTAAAGACCCAGAGAGTCGTCTGTCATCTATTTCGGACACCCAGAATCTTCCATACCTGGCGGATGTGAACTGGGACGCCGTGTTGGAGAAAGCAGTTCCACCAGGTTTCACTCCCAATGTCAGTAACAATTCACAAACCTCTCTCTAAGCTGCACAAGTAACACAACAATGGCCTGAGCTAATCTGCCTTTTATAGTAAAATATAGTTAAATGACATAAACAAATGTACAAAGTGTTATTTGTTTTATACTCCTCACAGTTAGATTTTAAAGAACACAAGGAGCTATAATAACATGAAAAAAGATTAATGTATGTCTCCTTTACTTATGATTCAACATTCAGTAATGTGGGAGGAATTATGATTGTCCCACTGAAATGTTGACAACAGTTTGAGCCAAACTGAATGGAAGGATACAATTTATTTTGGGGAAAAAAGCACAAATTTGTGCCTGTTGTCCACCATGTTTGTTTTGATCTAAGTCACGTTTCAGAAAATCTGCAAAATCCCAGAGAGACAATCCCATTAGTCTGGTTTGTGAGCAGCTGAAAATGAGTGGAATTTTGTTCTGGTTGTGTGGGGCATTGATAACTGAGGAACAACAAAGGACAAAAAATCTGAAAATGTTTTGGGTCTCTCACAATTTCAGCACTGATTAAAATAAAATATAGGTGAGGATTACTAAAGAACTTATTTACTATATTATTTGTCCTTGTGGTATCTGGCACCAAGACGTTAGCAGCAGATCCTTTAAATCCTGCAAGCTGTGAGATGGAGCGCCTCAGATCGGACTTGTTGTTCCAGCGCATCGCACAGGTGCTCAATTGGGTTGAGATCCGGAGAATTTGGATGTTTTATGTTTTTCAAACCATTCCGAAACAGTGTGTGCAGTGTAGCATGATGTATTTTCCTGTTGAAAGAGGCCACTGCAGTCAGAGAATCCCATTGCCATAAAGGGATGTACCTGGTCCACAATGATGTTTAGGTAGGTGGCATGTGTCAAATTGACATTCAGATGAATGCCTGGACACAGAGTTTCCCAGCAGGATATTCCTCAGAGCATCACACTACCTCCACCAGCTTGTCTTCTTCCCATAGTGCATCCTGGTGCCATCATGTCCCCAGGTAAATGGCACACACGTAGCCGACCGTCCATGTGATGTAAAAAAAAAAAACAGGACCAGGTGAACCTTCTTCCAGTGCTCCAAGGTCCAGTTATGAGCAATATATAAAATTGAATTGACGCATGTGGCCACATGTTTATATTTAAATAATAGAACACAAGAGCGGGAATTTGTTATCACAAATAGCACTAGAGCTGTGATTTGGTTGCATATGCTATTCATGATAACGCATGATCTTGTTCTATTGTGTTTGTACAACAATTTTGCAAAATAAATAAAAAGTAAAGCAAATAAACCCTGCACATTGTTGCAAATGTGCTTTAATGTTGTCAATTCCTTCAGTCAAAAAGCTGTAGTGTTTGCAGAGCCGTAAAACCGATGCAATATCAGGTTCAGCTCAGCTTTTTAAATTTTTGCCAGATCAACCTGACTGCCATTTTGTTTTAGCCAGTGTGTAAAGCATTTCCCAGCCTGTCTTGTTTGCTAAATCATATTCAATTTTTCAGGTAAATTCCAGTTTTCCTTAGTTGTTCTGCCATCACAGCTACTGACTGAAAAGCTGACTGAAAAAGCTACAACAGGTTTGGAATTTGATAAACCTGTTGCATTTTTGTTCTTCAGAATCTGACCAAATGGGCAGCAGGTCAAACATTATCTTTTCCTGTACCCTTGTTTTTTTGAGGTTATGGCTGAAATGTCCGGTTAGGGAATGTAAGTGTGGTTTGTTACTGTTTTTAGCATAGATATTGAAAGTGTGCTTTTTTAAGTTGTCATTTTATCGCATTAAATGTCTATGAGGCATACTCTCTCAATGTGGAGTTTGCATCTGTGACTACAGCTGAGTGAAATGTAGTACGTCAAGAACAGCAATGTTATGAGAATGTAACGCACCAAGCTTCAGCACAACATGTGAAAGTGGCTTCATAATGACTCTTTGAAAAAGCCCAGTTGTTAGTTGTAAAAAAAACAATCAGTGCCCATAAAATCCAACAGGATGATGAACTGCCAATGAATACATCCAATAACTGGATATATTCTGTCTGAGTAGCCCGAACAGGTCAGCAGAAAGCTAACAGGTTAACACTCCAATAATAAAATACAGACTTTATGTTCAAGCATTTAATGAAGGAGTTACTTGAAAACTGACACATGAATGTTACTTGCTTGCGTTATGAGCTGTGTCTGTATTGGACCAAGAGCTGACCCTGCTAGCTTGATGGTAACATACCATGGTGAACATACAAGGAGCATTATTGAAACGCTGGTTTAAAGACAGATTTCAACATTAGACTTTGCTATAAAATGGCTTTGTTTTACGGTTTTCCGTCTGTAACAGTGTAACTCTCAGTGTAAATGCAGTGTAAACATAAAAAAAGACAATTTTTTTTTTTGTGTGAGTAACTGGTGTAGGCTATAGAAAGGATCCTCTGATGAAAGAATTCTCTCATGCAGGTTCAGGTTTCTGTTGAAAATTCCATCATGTTAAGATGTTATAAGCATTTCACACATTGTTAGTTTATGCTTCTCCAAACATTCCAGCCATAAGCCACTCCAGAGGCCTATCTAGAACTTTTAGAATGGGGTGTCCAGATGAGACCCAGAGATTTTATTGGGGTGGCACTAGAGCTATTTGAATGCTTAAATGGTTCTTTGCATGGTGAAATGGTTCTTTAGATTCATGGAGAATGTGCTATATATAGCACCAACAAGCAATCTTCTGTTGTTATGATGTCAAGCTTGTTACAATAGAACACAACACATATCTTATTATTTTCCAGTTTTTGAATGTGCTAAAGAAGAATCTAAGTAACAGTTAGCTGTAGCATAAAGTGAGTCATTACTTAGTTACCGGTGCTCAGTGGAATAATACAGTTAAAAAAAAAAAAGTAGAACGCTTCTCAACCAATCAGTGCTGTACTGTTGGAACTTCTACGTTTTTTACCATGTGTTTGAATGTGGCTCAGCCAGTCAGATGCAATTTCAGAACAGAATATTTTTACAGTTTTCTCATCAAGGAGCCAATAGAAGTCTTGATAGGACTGAAAAAGGCCTACTGAGCTAAACGAAGTGGAAACGTGCAGATGTGTGTATGTGTGTGTGTGTGTGTGTGTGTGCAGCGTTGTTATGGAGAACGGACTGCTGCAGAGGGAGAGTTTGGAGTTATTCTGAGGATTATGACCCATATACAACCTTTATTTTGATGCCAGACAGCAGTGGGGAGGCAAAAGGGGGGTTTAATGCTTAAAATACCAACAGGAGGAATTAGCTACATGACAGCAGTGGAGTGTGTGTTTGTGTGTATGTGTGTGTGTCATCAGGATGTATTAGCTACATGACAGAAGACAGGAATGACCTTTACTCATGAAGAACTATACCCCCCCCCCGTCTCTCTATCTATCTATCTATCTATCTATCTATCTATATATCTGTCTCTCTTTATCAGTGCTGCCAAAGCATTATTAAAAAAGTCTTAATTTTTTGCATTTTTATTTTTCTGCATCATTTGATCACAGCAGCTTTCTTTTATATCATATCAGAATTTCATGATGAATGGACTAATAGAAATGATCCAAAATGCCCGGAATGAAATCTCATTACACTGACTTATGTAAAAAGTTAGGAACCTTTTTTCCCGCTCCTGTAAAGTTATCGTTTTGGAGATACTTGTCTTTTTTTCAGTGATTTAACTTCAAATTTAAATAGTATGGCTCAGCAAGAGATCGGCTGACTGAAAACATCAGGGACCTGCAGTGTTATCTTTATCAGCTGGTAACATTGCCGATAATTAGGTCCTTTTTTGTTTACGCCACTGCCTTGATTCAAACTCACAGTGGTGGTACAGGACTTTGGACAGCTGTGCCATTGGGCAGTTCAACAAACCACCATCAGAGTAAATATTACAAAAAAACATATTGTCACTGTCAGAACAAAATCTTGCATCTTCAAAATGAAAGCTTTACAGCAAAAAGAAAAAAACTTGTCTTAACCTGTAATGGAAATTAATGTAACCATTCATTTCTATTGAAACATTCTCCAGTCTACCAATTTTGACACAAATATGCAAAAAAATGAAAATTGACAAAAATGTGAGTTTCTGTTGTTTAAATGGGTTAAGAGGGGAGGCTGAGAAGTGACAATCATATCTGTCAGTAAGAGACTGTTTCACTAAATCTTTTGGAATCTGTTTTATTTTTGAACGTATTAAATATAATAAATAGAGTCAGTTATCATTATTTATTTATTATTATTTTTTTTGGCTAATTAAAATAATCATGGCCATAAAATCTACACTCACTGAGAACTTTATTAGATAACTCTCCATGTTTCTGCACTCGTTGTTCATTTCATCAGCTCCACTTACCATATAGGAACACTTAGTAGTTCTACAATTACAGACGGTAGTCCATCTGCTTTTCTGCAAACTTTGTTAGCCCCCTTTTCACCCTGTTCTTGAAAGGTCAGGACCACCACAGACCAAGTATTATTTAGGTGGTGGATCATTCTCAGCACTGCAGCAATACTGACGTGGTGGTGCTGTGTTAGTGTCTGTTGCGCTGGTTCACTTTGTAGATGTAAAATCAGTAATGATGGCTCATCAGGTGACTGCACAGTTTGTGTTGGCCACCCTCTAGTCCTTCATCAGTGGTCACAGGATGCTGCTCGCAAGACACTGTTGGCTAGATGTTTTTGGTTGGTGGACTATTCTCAGTCCAGCAGTGACACTGAGGTGTTTAAAAAATTCCAGCAATACTGCTGTGTCTGATCCACTCATACCAGCACAACATATTAATACACCACCACCACGTCAGTGTCACTGCAGTGCTGAGAATGATCCACCACCCAAATAATACCTGCTCTGTGGTGGACCTGTAGGGGTCCTGGCCATTGAAGAGTAGAATTACAAAGCACACCTGTATGGTAAGCGGAGCTGATAAATTGGACAGTGAGTGTAGAAACAAGGACATGCTCAGTAAGTGTATGTATTGGTATTGCAAACATGGCAGTACATTTCTTATAGATCTTGTGCGCTGTATTGTCCTGCCAAAGCTCCTTGTTTCTCTTCTCGTAATAGGATAGGCAGCGTGTCAGTATTCTCTATCCCTCTCTCTCTCAGAAAGGACGTCTGAACTGTGACCCCACTTTCGAGCTGGAGGAGATGATTCTAGAGTCGAAACCTCTGCATAAGAAGAAGAAGCGACTGGCCAAGAGTAAATCCAAAGATGCCAACAAAACCTCCAGCCCACTGGTGTGTTTATAACACATGTAAAAAACACTTGTTCATTTTTTATACACATGTAATAAAAACACCAAATATATAAATAGTAAACTCCAAATAGTAATCTGCTATAGCCTGCATGTGCTAAACCTCAGCTCCTTATTTGCATAACTTACATGTTACTTTCATAATAATAATTCATAGACATTCCTGATTCGCATTATTTTGTGTATTTAATTGCAGTTAATTGCATGTGTTTCTTTTGCTGAAGTTTGACCCTAATGAAAGATTTTTCCCATTTAAAAAGCAGCACAATTTGTTATAGCAATATAAGTGGACAAATAATTTTCATCACAGTTTATTACTTTCATCTTTCATTCTGACAGACCACAGTAACAGTGGAGAGAAACTAGAGCTTTCCACTGTTATTGGTTTTGTTAGCTTGCTGCTTGTTGATTTATCCATCTCCCACAAACACTGTCCAGCTTATTCTTATTAAAGGTGCTGAAAGTATTGCTTTAAAAGCCATTTAACAGATGTATTTGTATGAGGTTGCAATACATACAGGTTGCAAGCAGTTGTGCCTCAGCCTGCAGAAAAATACATAAATGACCTAAAGATAATTGTGGAGTTAATAATGTATCAGGTTACTGTGTTACTTTTGACAGACCATTATATTTGGTTATACAGTTTGTTTACACTGTTTATTTATTCTAATTGTTTGTACTGTTTGATATAATGTTTGGTTGAACTGTTCATTTATACAGTTTGTTTGTACTGTTCACTTATACTGTGAGGTTTAGCAGTAAACCCCTGCACGCACACACACACACAGTCAGAGAGCATGAAACATTCTTATTTTCACACTGATCCACCTGCTGTTCTGTGTGTGTGTTTTCAGCCCCCCCACCTGCAGCAGTGTCTAGACACCGTTACACAAGAGTTCATCATTTTCAACAGAGAAAAGTAAGTACTGCCCCTTTGCCCTTTCTCTTGCTCTCTGTACTTTTCCGCTCTTTCAGACTTTTCTCTTTTTCATGTTAATGTAAGAACATCATAAACAGTAGGCTGGTCATGATATCATGACATTTTAGCTGATGATTAATTACCATATAAATAATTGTGATTAACAATTTTGTCTTATTTGCAAGGAAAATAAATTGGGTGATTAGCTGTTTTTTTTCGCAGCTGTCAATACTTGGTTGCTCACAACTGTTGACAGATGCAACCCGAACTCAAATATAGACATTACTCACAGACACCCTTTATAGGTGTTATACCAGTCAGGAGGTATAAATGTTGTTTTCATATGACCTATGACATCTCTCAGCAAATGTGTTTTCTGCTTTCTTTTAAGTTGCTGAAACTCAACTGAAGAAATAGCACCCAGTTCATGTTTGTCGAAAACTCTGGGGCAAAAAATGACAAAATATCATCTACTGACATATTATGCAACTCTAGTACAACTCAAATCTGTGTGCCTAAACTGTTCTGCAGTGTAATAAGATAGAGAGAGCAAGAAATGAAGCTCCATCTGTGTATATGTGTGTGTTTTTGGGGGAGCATTTTTCTGCCCCTTTCCCTCCTGATACCCTTCTTTTTTGTTTGTTTGTTTGTTTGTTTGTTTGTTTCTTATTTATTTAAAAGCTTTGCTCATTGCTTTTACAAGTGAATGTTTTAATTACTTATTGTCAGTGAATTTCCATCTCCACCGCTCCACCCAGAGTGACTTCATTTAGCATGCACATAGCTGCAGTTCTAGAATGTGATATGTGTGCAGTGTCAGCTCCAGGTCTGCTGAATGGTGTGAGGAAACAAGCTACATGTGAACATGAACAAATTACATTTTCTTGTGGTAATTTTTAACATGATTTCAAGTGATTTTATTACACTTCAAGTCTCCCAAGCTAGATTTGGGTAAATCTGCTTTTAGCTATAGTGTAACAGTGAGCTGGAATACAGAACAGGACACTCTAAAGCTAGAATAGCTCGTTTTTAAACTTCCTCTCTCTACTTATTTTTCTCTGTTTGTAATTGTTTTAGTTGATGAAAACAGTCAATGGTTTCTTGATTTTTTATTTAATTCTTAATTAATTTTTCCAGAAATCCTGCTTCATTTTCTCATCCAGTCATTGCTTAGCAGCCGTTGCACTATCCACCATTTGAATGTATTTTGAATTTGAAGCTCCAAATGTTCCAGAAATATGCTTGGATCTGTAATATGCTTGGATCTGTAAAGGCAAGACCTGATACATAGGCAGAGTAGAAGATGGGCAGAGATCTCCAAAGCCAAATATAAAAAGTTTAGCCACCCGAGTTAAAGAAAAAAGTTGCATTGTCCTCATCAGCAGTGATCTGCGAACTGCCTTATTCTGCAAACAAAGTGATCAGAAGCAGGATATAAATAAAAAAAAATCTATGCCCACTGTAGCAGTCTGCTTTATCTCAGAATGCCTCCCAGTTTGGATGTTTTAAATTGGTGCTTTCTTCTGTCTTGATTGTGTACATTTCAGCTGTCCATTTTGTATTTTGTCCATTTTTTTATTCTGTCAATGTTTTGTTTACATCATCTTCATTGGGGTACTTTTATTTTGTCTTCATCTGGGTTTTGCTTGTCAAGAATGGAAGCATGCTTTATAGGAAAATGTTGCATTGGTTGTTGGGTTTATATGAAATTCTCCTACTGTTAATCTGTATGTAATCTTGCTGTAGTTTTGTATTGGTTGGAAAAAAATACTTGCTTATAGTGGTGACATGCCCAGCACCCTGATCAGTATACCAGCATCCTGTTGCTGCATAACTCTCGCTGACCTGCTGTGATATTGTAAAAAAAATCCCTGACTATCCAAAAAAGGTAGCCAGGTAGGGGCAAAAAAGGTAGCCAGATAGAGGCAAAAAAGTTTTTTTGCCCTCCAATTGCTGCTAAAAAACTATTGCTATCCAACATTTCCTCAAGCTTTCAGTCTTTTAGCAGCACACCAGAGTTTGTCATGAATATTTGTTGAATGTAAAGCTCCAGATGTGGTCATTAGGTGCTTGGGAGGACCTCAAAGGATGTTTTCTGCTCCTCTAAGGGTCTCTGTGCAGGCCTTGTATGTGTGTGTGTCTGTGTGTATGCGTGTATGAGTGTCTACAGCTGAGTTATGATTTTATTCTTGTAGAAAATGTGCTCTAATTTGAGTTTTAGAATCAGATTGTTAATGAAGTGGAGTGTGAGGGTTTTAGCCTCTGTGAGTGTGCATGTGTGTTTAACAGCTGAATGAGCAGAGTTTCCCTGCTTTAGTTTTCTCACATTAAGTCACTCTTATCTCATTCGTATGTGTGGGTATGTGTGTCCTAATGCTGCGCACAGTATGCAGACTGAGCTTTAGGCTGTTAGGCTGTGCTGATTATTATTCATGCTCTAATGAATATTCTGCTGCTCAAACAAAAACTTTACATCTATGAATATTAAATATAAGTCTAATCAGTTCACCCAGATCTCTTCATCCACAAACACTTTCAGCCTTTTTAAAGAGAGTTTTATTCATTGATTCATTTCTGCTGCTAGCAACTGAAAGACATAAATACCTCAAACACAGTAGATATGCAGGGATGAGGATGTGCATGCATACTCAAGTACTCAGTTAACCATTTAAGGGGCCACTTTTGAAATACTAAAGAAATGAATTCTAAAGAAAATAGACTGAGTTTTGCCCAGATTTGTGAGTACGTATGTAAAGTATTGTCCAAAAGTCAACCCTTAATTTATTGAATTCTCATTCAAAACAAGCATCAGAAGATGTTTCTGAGGAGATTAGACATAAAACAATCCACTTGCATTAGGAAGGGTGCAAGATCTAGTGAGCCACAAACATGGTCATCATTAGATAAACAGTACCTAAAGCTTTCATCTTTGAGAGAGAGGAGAAAATCAAGCTCCACTCTTGCTTCAGATCTGAAAAAATCCACAGGTATTTCTGTTTATCCTTCCTCTGAGAGAAGACAACGAAGTGCTATGGGTCAGAAAGGATGTGTAGCTGTCAAGAAGCTCTTACTGAGAAAAGGAAATACACTAATAGACATACATACATACATCATCTAAACCGCTTATCCTTCTGGGTCACGGTGGGGTGCTGAAGCCTATCCCAGCTGTCATTGGGCGGAAGGCAGGATACACCCTGGACAGGTCGCCAGTCCATCACAGGGCAGACAGACAGACATACACAGTCACACACACACTCACACCTAGGGGCAATTCAGCATGTCCAATCAGCCTGACTGCATGTCTTTTGGACTGTGGGAGGAAACCGGAGGAAACCCGGAGGAAACCCACACAGACACGGGGAGAACATGCAAACTCCACACAGAAATGACCCTGGTCGACCCGGCCGGGAATTGAACCCAGGCCATTCTTGCTGTGAGGCGACAGCTCTACCCACTGCGCCACCGTGCCACCCTGCACTAATAGACAACATTTGCAAATCAAACAGAGAAGCTGCGGGTGTTTTCAGATCAATGGACTGTCCACCCCAGAGTCCAATGTCACTAAATCTGTTTGTGATTACTTGGATAGTGAGAAATAGAAAATGCAACCAACTTCTAAGACTAAACTTTGCAAAGGTGTGAAATAAAATCCCTGCAGATTTCTTTCTCCTGAAAAGAGCAGAAGCTGTAAAGGTTAAGAGTGTATACACTAAATACAGAAAAAATATATATGTAGTTGGTGAGGCTTCTGTATAATTTATTTTTGTACTTTGCCACTTACATATAATATAAAATATATAATAATATATAATATATATTATTATTCTTTGCTACTACAAAACATGAGTGCATTGTCAAGGACACGTTGTTAAAGAAAGTGACTGATAAAGCAGAGCAAAGCTAACCGTGTAACTACTCTAGCTGGTGTTAGCTAGTTCCAGAAACAATGAAAATAGAAGACTGTTCTGACATTGATAACTGAAGTGTTAATGTTAGGAGCCTAGTTTCTCACAAAGCAGCCTTCTTTAAATCACTATTTCAGTGTTCAGTGTTTTAGGGGTCTTTTTTTTTGTCTAATTTTGAAAAAATTTTATTTTTTTAGACATCTACTGAAAACATCTGACATACAACTGGCGAGCCTTTGAACAACGTCTTGATTTTCAGAAGGAATGTAAATGTATAATTGTGTATAATCGGTATACCTATGAAAATACTACCTATGATCTCCTGTTACCTGATGGCATTACCTAGATATAACATGTACAAAAAGAGAAGCAAAGCCCTAAAATTGAACCTTGTGGGACTCCACAGTTAATGTTAACATTCTTTCTCTTGCTTTCTAATTTCTATCTCTCTCTCTCTCTCTCTCTCTCTCTCTCTCTCTCTCTATTCCTTTTCTTATTCTCTTTCCTACTCTAACTTGTCCTGTTGATTATCTGCATTCCCTCTCATCATTCTCTCTCTCTTTCTCTCTCTCATTTTCTCAGGTTAAAGAAGCAGGGTGACAGTGTGAATAAAACATCTTCACTGTCAGCACCAGACAAACTGCATGACGGACACAACGACAACAACAACAACAACAGCAGGATCTCTCAGAGAAATGGTGTGTGCTACAGCTAATACTGACCAACTACTAAAACTGACCAGCGGCTAATGCTGACCAACAGCTAAAACTAACCAATGATGGTCAAACTACCCTTGCTCTTCTGCCCTCCTGCTTTTCTTTTTTGGAGCTTCATGACTAAATAATGGGTCCAGACACACGCTGAAATGTGGAAAAGTAGGACAGTGTTCTGACCTCCTTCTGACCACAATACTGTCCTCAAGTCCTCAAAACACATACACAAAGCATGGAGTAGACACAGCACAAAACCAACCCCTTTGCCTTACAGTGTGTGTGTGATTAAGTGTGTAAGCAGTTTGTAAAGACTAATTGAGTGACTGAATGCATCACTGTAGCCGTGTAGCCCAGTTAGCGTTTGCATTAGCATTAGCCACCTTTAGCTTCTGTAACCTGCTCTGCTGACTCGTGTAGCATCCATCTGATTATGCAGCTGATATTTCTGTTACTCTGTGAATAAAATATCTGTGTCAAATAAACTTTATGCATAAGCTGTAACAGAGTGATGACTGGTGGATCCGATTAGAACAGCAAACAGTGAGAATTTTTTACTGAGCAGCTTAAGGCTGATGTGCAGTGTTCCTGAATATTGTGATATTTCAGCTGTTATTGTGATATGCAGATTAATATGTGCATTCCTTCAATATCAGACAATAAGAATTTAACAAATGAGAAATTATACTGACGTACCATATATTTCATCTTCACATATCATGTTAAAGTGATGGCAGCCTATCGTCCAGCCTACAAGAAACAATGGTTTGGTGAAGAAACAAATTTACACGATTTTCCCTTGCTGATCTCACTCAGATGCTGCAGGCCTTCATACATAGTGGGAGGGAAGGAGCCATCAGGGACCACCAAAGTTTGAAAGAGAAATTCCACGGAGTAGTTATTTATTATGTATAAATAAATCAATAAAACATAAACAAAGTCATTCAGAGTGGTTTGATGTAAAATACTTCATTCTAGAAAAACGCTGATTCAGAATTGTTCACAGTGGTGGTGATAAGAACCAGACATCCAAAGCATTGAATACCTCTAAAAGTTAAATCACAGAAAGTTTTTACACTAAATAGTTGTGTTTATGCTGCCTGGGACATTGCTTTACGATAGTTTTGGAGAAGGTTTTGGTTTAAAGTGTATTTTTAAAAATGTATTCAAGGTGGAGAGGTACATGCAGGGCATTTTAAGGAAAAAAAAATGTTTATATTCTTTATAGATTTACCATTTACTTTACCAATATTAAAAATGAAAACTGTAATGTACATTCCCTTGCTGTTTTGGATAGTACATAAAACTAGAAAGGGGAAATTTGTAAACAAACTTTAAGTTAGCTTGACAAAGTCTTTGCCAACAGTTGGTAAGATATTTATAGGCCATTGCTATGACATCCCAGGTGGTTGTTAAGATGTCGCTAGACTGTTGATTGGCTATCCAAGGTGGTATCCCAAGGTGTGGCCAGGCCATTGCTATGGTAATCCAGGTTGTTGCTGATGTCTTGCTAGGCGGTTGCCATGTCATCCTAGGCAGGTGCTAAGATGCTGCTAGGCCATTGTTGTGGTATCCCTATTTATTGCATTTAGAATGTTATTTCAGACATCCAGACCTTATCTAGCAAAGTACATAATGTATATACTAAACTAAAGTGCAGTGCTTGGATTGAGACACAAAGTTTGTGTATTTGTCCTGCCATTTCTCTGCACCTGTACTTTTTGTCTTCCTCCCCATCCAGGGGCGCCTAAAATTTAGGTTCCCTGAAAAATGTATGCATGGGCCTCATGCCTCACTTATTTCCCATAGCAGAACCAGTCACAAAATGAAAACGTGCCAAGTCTACTCTACTCTACTCTACTTTACTCTACTCAACTCATCTCTACTTATTTCCCATAGCAGAACCAGTCACAAAATGAAAACGTGCCAACTCTACTCTACTCCCTATTTATAGTCCCATAATTCCAGCTCTCACTCAGCATGCAGCAAGTTGTGAATATAAATCTGAACAAATTATGCCGTTAAATGAAATTTTGTTTGTTGCTTATCAAAAATGTTGCATCTTTACTGTCAAAGCAAGAATCTATAATGAACTGTTTTTTCTAGTATAAGACAGATGCATGCAAATACACACACACATTTACACAAATATTTTTCCAATTACAGATGATATCAGTGTTTGAAAGAACATGACATCTTGACATAAAACAGTGTGTGTAGCACTATCGATTTATGAGGGAAAACTTAAAAACTGTAAATATGCAATGGAATATGAAGTTTTGTTATGGAGTTTTCATTATTTCCATTTGACAACTGCAGTGACTACAGCATAAGCTTCCTTTCCAATAATAGCTAATATATCATGATAATCAGTCTTCACCTCCAAATCTGGGGACATCCGTTATAGGGCAAAAAGTATGTGGACACCTGACCATCATTAATCACTGGCCATTAATATAGAGTTGGTACGCCTTTGTCGCTATTACAGCCTCCACTCTTCTGGGAAGGCTTTCCACAAGGTTTTAGAGTTTGTCTGTGGGACTTTGTGCCCATTCAGTCAAAAGAGTGTGGTCAGGCACTGATGTTGGATGTGAAGGCCTGGCTCCATGATCCAATTTATCCCAAAGGTGTTTAGTGAGGTTGCGGTCAAGGGTCCTCCACACCAAACTCATCAAACCAAGTCTTTATGGATGTCACTCTGTGCACAGGGACACAGTCATGCTGAAACAGTAAAGGGTCTTCCTCAAGTAAAGGTGGAAGCATATAATTGTCTAAAGTGTCTTTATATGTTGTAGCTTTACATTAGCTTTCACTGGAACTAAGAGCCGAGCCCAAACCCTAATTAAGAGCAAACGCACTGTTTTTGTGCTGATGTTGCTTCTAGGGGCAGTTTGGAACTCTATAATGAGTGATGCAACAGAGGAGAAGTGATTTTTATGTGCCTCCCACTTCAGCACTCAGCGCCCCCACTCTGCACGTTTACATGGTCTACCGCTTTGTGGCTGAGCTGTTGTTGGTCTCAGACACTCCCTTTTCACAATAATATCACTTACAGTTCACCAGGGCAGATCTATCAGGATAGAAATTTCATAAACTTACTTGTTGCAAAGGTGACTTCCTAAAGTCACTGAGCTCTTCAGTACGACCCATTCTACTGCCAGTGTTTGTCTATGGAGATTGCATGGCTATGTGCTTGCTTTTGTATACCTGCTAGCAATAGGTGTGGTTATAGCTGAAACATCTGAATTCATTAAATTGGGGGGTTTCCACACACTTTTGACCATATAGTGTGCTATATTCTCTGTTTTTGCTGTTTTGCTTTTTTTTTTTATTTGTCATTTTGGGTGGCAGAGTATGACCGGGCTAAACCACTGACCATTTACTCTGTAGAGGACAGAATGGAAGATGCACTGCCATTAGCACTGTATCTAAAACTAGTCTTCAATTATTATTTAATTAATGGTGGGTTTCAATTAAAATATTTCAGTAACTTAAAAAAAAATCTCAAGCAAAAAAAGTTTCTTTGTTAAAAAGAATCTTTGTTGATCTCTTCAGGACCATTAGAATCGTTCAAATCCCCCACCCTGCTTCCGTCTTCACATGGTGAGAGGCAGAAATGTGTGCTGTATCTTAGCGGTCAGATAGTGCTTGTGGTAAAGGTCACTAAAGTGCTCAGTTTCCTGTCCCAGATAATTGGGCCTTTTAAACTCAAATGAGTCGACATTTTCTGCTCAATTTAGAAAGGGCAGCATCATTTTCCCAAATACACTCTCTCTCTCTCTCTCTCTCTCTCTCTCTCTCACACACACACACACACACACACACACACATTCAGAGATGGGAAGTTTTCCTTTGTTCTTTAATGGTAGCACCTATTACAAATAGCATTAAATATTTAGGGGTTTGCAAGTGTGTGGTTAGCGTAAAAGATGTGTTGAACTGTGTTGAACTCAAAGACTTATGTGCTTTCTGACATTGTAGAATATACTGTTGTCTGTAAACATGAAAAAGGATATCACATAGCTGCAAACAGTAGTAGTCATCATCTTCATTACTGTATTATGCTTTTGTCTATTTTTATAGACATCAGAAGTGGGCAACCCTGAGGAGCTTTTTGACCATCAGAGAAGGCCTAATGATTTCTGGGAACCTATTTTTAAAATATTTTTTATTTAATATTATCATCATGCGTTTAAATTCTGCAAGCACTGTGGTATATTCTAATTTCATTATTTCACAAATGAAAAATTGTGCAATCAGATTTTTTTCCACCATGGTATCTAGGAAGATACAGCCAATCAACCTTACCTATTAGTTAGGCCTTTTTTAAATTAACTACCAATATAATTAGCAACTGACAGTGGAATAAATCAGTCATGTTTTGATTTTCAATGGGACCAATTCCATGGGAGAAACCATCACATACAGTTATATATGTCACTTACTGCAAATATGTCTAAAAAATAGTCTAAACAGTTTTCAGTCAGTTATAGACATGGTAAACAGCGGTGGTAGTTCAGTGCCAGGACTAGTATTGGTAGAATGTGTTGTCTGTTACAAGTTTCAATAAAAATGAGGAAAATCTTTACAAACTTCATATGTCTCTCTTTACTCCAAAACAGGCAAAAAACCTATATGTGCAACAGCATTAGCTTAGAGCAGTGTTTCAGAACCCGGTCCTCAGAGCCCCCTACACGGTCCACATTTTTTCTTCATTCCTATGTGTGGTGAGTTAGGACCGTGTAATGTGGACCTTCTGGGGGGCCTTAAGGACCAAGCAGGGAAACACTGGCTTAGAGCAACATACTATCAGAAATCTCATGAGTGCTAGCAGAAATTAGCATTATCATAGAGGTGGATATCTGACATTTATGCACCAACCTGAAGGTCTAGCTCTAATAGTCACAGCTCACCACTGGATAACAGTATGTTCTACGTTGTCAGAAACCATATAAGCAAAACTACTTAAGATGACTTAACAAATAGAGGAGCAACAATGGTTTGAGAGAAGTGTGTAGTAATATAATTATTTTAATTGATATAAGCAGGATTGGGTGAAATACTTAAATCATTACTGTGGGCTAAATGCACTGTCCTAAATGTATTCAGTAATGTATTCTGTTACAATACATAAAAAAGTAACATATTCAGAATACATTTAGAATGCACTTATAATACATCTCTTGGTAAGGCAGATGGGAAACCTTTTTGACCCAAAAAAATAAACAAAAAAACAGTTACTTAATTCACTGTTCCT